GGGAGAGAGAGAGGGAAGATGAGTCCGAATTGGGAGCTAAAGCACTGCTGCAATCATGACCAAGTTGTGTTTCTTGTTACCATCGGCGTCTTCACTGTCGTCATTCTTGCCGTACGCTACTACTACCCTTTTTCCCCCCTCCTCCGTTTTGCTTAGCTAATTTGCTTGTGCTACTAGCACGATCTTTTTGTGCGCTCCACTTTGCTTGCTAGTTCTTGATCGCTTTTGTTCGGCAAGTAAATTGCAAGCTTCCTTTACAGAACTGCACTCTTCCATGGCTTGTGAAAATTAAAGTTGTAATGTGGTGGTAATTTTCATGAATATTGGTATCACACGTTTTCAGAAACTTTTAGTGCAAGTACAATACCACTGTTTGCTGCTGCTGCTCTTAGGAGTCATTGACTCTCATTTAGTCCCAACTCTCTAACCGAAGGGTTTTGGCAGCCCAATTGAGTTTCTTGCTGAATTTCTAGAATCGTCACCTGTGACTCGTAATTGAAGGGTTTTGGCAGCCCAATTGAGTCACCCGCAAAAGTAGTCACCTGTGATCGGATTTTAACTCTGAGAACTACCGCATATATCTAGAATTTCTTGCTAATATTTGATAATTCATTTATGGTCTGATGGCACCCCGCTCTTGAGCCACAGGAAAATAACTGTTTGCCGTTTTCATCCATTTTGAGGGTTTATAGTAGATCTTCATGTTCTGACCTTATTCAATCGTTTTTTGCCCAAAAAAAAAAAATGCAGTTATGGAGGACAATACTTCTCACACCTTTCAAGCTCATTACAGTGTTTCTTCATGAAGCAAGCCATGCAATTGCTTGTAAGCTCACATGTGGTCAGGTAAGATGCTTTCTTTTTATCACTCTGATCTTTTTCTGCAAATTAGCCAAATTTCCTTGCTGCGTAAGCTGTGTGTTCCTGCTCGCAATTGTTTGAAACACTAAATTTTTGTGGCTGTCTCTCCCACACACTCCCATCCTGCCCCGAAAAAAAAAAAAAAAATCCCTCTGTGAACTCTTATTTGAATGAATTTACTTTTTTAGTTTCATTAACATGAAGAAAGTTTATTTTCAACTCTTTTTACAGATTCTGCTTTATGACTATATTTTAACTTTGATCTATTTTGCTGATGAGAACATTGGCGGGCCTGCTTCTAGAATGCTCATTTCAGCAGTAGAAGAACAAACTCATTTCTCCAAAATTTTGGGTCCAAAGTGTTGGAGGACTCAGACTTGTGCTATGCATGCATTGAGCCTTCAAGTTTTCAGAGAGTTGTGCCCTGCAATTCCAAGTAGTTACATAGATATTCCAGAGAAACTAGGTGTATAAGCTTGGACTTCCATGCAAACTTTTTCCTTCACTGAAGCACACACAAGAGCTGTTCACTTCAATATTAACGGCAAAAAGTGCATGGCACTGTTAGTTTCATAATATTGCTTGTATGATGATGTCATTCAAACACATTCCAGTTTTATTGTAATTAATGCATTTCAGTTGTTGGTTGGATGGTCATTCATGTCTGCTGAATGAACTTCCTCTTTTGCTCTTGTATGCAGGTTGAGGGCATGCAAGTTCATGCAAATGAGGGTGGGGTGACTCAAACACGTGGTGGTGTTTATTGGTTGATCTTGCCGGCAGGATGTATTGCACATTTCTCCTTGAATATTTCCCTTTTTAATTAGAATAATTAGCACTAGCTGTCAGTATTGCAAGATAAATGATTGTTATATCCTATACTCTGGTCTATTCTTAAGGGATCAACTAAATATGTAGCTACTTTATCATGTATTTCCTTCATCCTGTGTACATCATGATTTATCTTTAACTTCCTCAGTATCTGTTTGGTTCCAGATCTCGGTTCATCATTTTGGGGAATGGCTCTTATACTTGCTTCTACAAATCTCCTCACTTCTAGAATTGCTGCTGGATGTTTTATTGCCGCTTTGTTGGTTGTGCTTTTCATTGCTAAAAATGTAAGAGAACACAATAAATTGATCAGTCCAATTTTGTTTCATGTTCTGCAAATTAATTAATCTGATAACAAGTATCCACTAAGAATTTGGAAGTTGGTTTGATGATTTCATGCTATTTGCAAAATCTAACTTTTTTGGTTTTTTACTTTTAAAACAGTGGACTCTCCGAGGACTTTGCATTGGTGATTATCTTCAAGTCCTAATAACTTAAATTCTTTCTACACGTCCTTTTCATATTCAAATGAATTGAAACTGACAGCCTGGACATGCCAGGATTTATCATTTTCATTGGTGTAGTATGGGTTCTGCAAGAGCTGACTAAAGTTCGCATTCTTCGCTATGTCATTCTCTTCATTGGTATGTATTCATCTGATGATATGTATTTCCTTCTAGCAATTAGTCCGTCTTCTTGCTTCCATTCAATTCTACACTTTTAACTAATTCTGTCAGTTTTGTTGGTGTTATATATTGCAGGTGTTATGAACAGTTTGTTTTCAGTATACGGTAATAGCTACCTTAAGCATCATAAATAAATAAACCAGAGGCTAAGAAATTCAGAATTCTATCCAACATTAATTGAATAGTGCAGATATATACGATGATTTGATCTCTCGAAGGGTTCATTCAAGTGATGCTGAGAAGTTTGCAGAACTTTGCCCCTGCCCTTGTAATGGTGTTGGATGGGGTGTTATTTGGTAAGTTTTTTTTTTGTTGTTTGACATATTTGTGAAGAGCAAACGGCTAAAGGGTCATGAAACTACTTAGCGTTCCATGTATTACTTACCAAATTTTTTATCTAGCCAAAATGTCTATTCAACTAATTAAAACGTATATTTTGGGACAGACAGGTATACATTTTCATTAGTAGAGTGACAAAATATACATTTTTTATTAGTTGAGTGACCAAAAATGTACTTTTTCATTAGTTGAGTGACCATTTGGACAAATAAAATGTTCAGTGACTAAAACATAAAATTTGAAATGGTTTGGTGACAACTTGTGCCTTTTGCCCTGTTTGTGAATAATCTGTTGTCATGAATTTACTGGTCAATATAGTTGAGTTTCTCCTAGTTCTATCTCTGTTGTGTCTATCATACTATCTAAATGCAGACCTTTCTTGCAGGGGAATGATATCTTTCGTATTTCTTTGTGGAGCCATGTATCTTGGACTAGTCATCCTGTCCTGAGGTACTTTCTCTTCCTTCGCCGTAGATATGGCTTCAAGGGTTCACAGGAAAAGAAATTATGAAAACACACTACTTGACATAAGTTTGCAGACAGTCAGCAATTTGCTGGTTGGATTGAATTGTTGAAAGCGGGAATGACCTATTCACTAACCAATGGAATGTGATTTGGCCTGCTTGATTTCCATATACTCAGTGAGCACTTATTGATAATCAACTTTCAACAGTATAAAATCAGGAAATATTTTAGACGTTAGACAGAGGCTATATAATAACATCCATAATTTAAGCTGCCAACCTACAGCATTAAATGTTAAACACTAGTCTTGCAAATTTTTGACAAAATTCTTGTTATAAATAATGCAACTGGTGCAGTTAGCATATTGCAAAGCAAAAGTAAATCAAACTTTCCTCCGTGTAACCTTTTGTAACCCTGTTAAAGTAATTCTAATGTTATGATTTCCTCCCAAAAATAAAAAGAATTAAGTTATAAAGAAACTCTCCTATGGCACATGATCTGTTATGACTATCAGCCAGCATGCAGATATATAAAGACCTTGTGCTGTTTTCATGGGCTAGAGATCAGGGAGATAACAAGCTTTAATAGTTCTTTTTCAGTTTTTATTCTTTAGCATTTTCATTTCTTTGTGTCACATCATTAGCTGTTCTTCAAGAGCATAACTTCGTTTTAAGACTCCAGATTCATTTTCTGCCTAATCAGTCTACAACTTGTACTAATTTCTCTTTCCTTTCGTGTAACATTTTCATCTTTTTTAGGTTTGTTGACTTGGTTATGAATCCAGTCAACCGTGATTCATGGGAAGACCGGAATTCGGTGTTGATTCAACAAAATTTTTTTTCCACTCTGAATTATTCTTTTGCTCAATTTTTGGACTAGGAACTGTAGGTCGGGATTGTGTACAGTGAGGAGGAATGTTCCAGTCCATGATCTACTGTGGGCAAATTTTTTTTGAACCTACCAGTTTGCTGGATGTCTCAGATCTTTTAGCTCTGGATTCTCGAACTGTATAGTTCGGTTTATTGAAGTTCCCGATTGAACTGGATTAGCAACTAGCAAATGCGAGTAAATTTGGTATTAGCGTTGATTCATTACATCGTTATCGTAACTGCTAATTTCGTGACAGCATATACAACCTGTCAATAGTTATCAATTCGCACATTAACTAACACACACACAACCCATTCTCAAGTGCCTAACTGAAGCAAAACACTCGCGCTGCATGGTAGATCCATCACAGTTGCGAGCGTGCATTTATTCCTCTAAAAAGCACGTTTATGGGAATTCAAGATGCAAGCTTGCGTGATCCAAAACAGTAACTTTTCCTCTAAGCGGCAAGCGCAGGCGAAACAAACAGCAAAGCGTAGCCTGTGGTAGGATCCGCATTTACCTCATCGTTTTTGTGGCAGTACGTTTTTAGGGCATTCAATATCTAGAGCACTAAAGTAGATTAAGAAAACCAAATGCACTAACAAGAAGATGCTCCATTAATTGGATTTTCAGGATCACTATACTTAACAGCCCAAACCATCTAACTCGAGAAGATGCAGTATCGTTATGCCCAACTGAAGAAAGCACTTCGGCAGTACCGTTATGTCCAGCACGGTCGTCCGTCCGCCCGCCATTTTCCCTCTAAGAAGCAGGTTTATATGGGTGTCAAACTTGCGTGGCCCAAAAAGCTCCATCATCTACTCTCTCTTTCTTCCCCCCACAACCCCGCTCCCTCCTCCCCTTCTAGCATACAGGTGCGAACACATTAATCTTACCGTTCCTTTGGCAGCAGAGAAGCATGGATCTAGAGTACTGCAGCACATGATGTACTAAGAAACAGTGGAACATTCAACTCGTTTATCAACTGGATTATCAGGATCATCACACAACAATTAACATCCCAAGCTGTCTAACACAAGAAGACGCTCGATTTTACAGAAAGCTCCTACCACAAAACTTCTTAACTAATCACCTTATTAGTTACTAATATACCGTGTAACATAGAATTAACCGTAACGCAGACCCCTTCGTCTATTGATCCATGTGACAATGAGGGAAAGAATAGCAATTGGTACGAGTTCGATGCAGGCTCAAACAACTCGCCAGAGCTTCATCAATCTTTTGCTCCTCGGACTTTACTCTCAGCAAGCTAGACGTTCAGAAGGGGAAAAAAAAGCATCTGGTCAAAATATGCTCAGCACCACAGAGCTTCATCGTACTTTGTCAAGGGCCATCCAATGTTTAGGCAGCCAATTCTTCTGATTCAGCATAATTTGAAGTTTGCAATCAATTTGTCAGTAATTCCAGGATTCCAACAGTCAGAAAGAAGATAGTGGAGTCAGATATCCAAATCATCATCAGGGTCCTCATCAGAATCTGGCATTTCATCATCGGAGTCTCGAATATAGATTATCTCGCCACGACCAGAATCCTCATTCACATGCATTTTCTCGGCATTAGTCTCTTTATTCTCAGTTTTGCTCTCACTCACAGATCTCCGGCCATCATAGATTTGAATGGGTTTGCCATCACCTGAAGGAAAATAAACCCATGGCTTTCTCATCATAAATCACAAAATAAACTTGATATGCTTAAAAATTGAAGATAAATAAGCAATAATTCCAATCAACACATTCACACAACCATAATAATCAGTTTACATCCCTACCCTGGTGCTCAAATGGCAGAACAACTTTTGCCCTGTCATTTCTCTCCTTTTCTGACAGCTGCAGATTGAACTGGACCTGAGAAAAACCCACGACGTGAACAAAATGTACTCTTCCAGAACTTTTGGCAGCATAAGCGCAATTGCAACTTATGTTTCCAATTAGAAATTGCTTGAATCCTGTTTCAAAGGCCAATTTACCTTAGGTACAAGGCTTTGAGAAGTTACGTGACCTTCGAAAGCAGGCACAAAGTTGATGCCCATTTGCTCAGTGTGGAGCTCTTCACTCTAACAAAAGAATGTAAAGATATCAGATTCTGAACCAAGCTGAATACAATCAATTTCTCTTCCGCTTTTTGTATAAGGATAAGAAGGGTAAGAGAGTACCATCAATCTAATACGTCCATTCCTGCGTTTGAAGCGCACAGAAAACTTTCCCCTCCCAAGATTCTGTTCAATCAGAGGAACGTTCTCAGAGTTCATTCCCTTTCCATTGGCTGTGTTGCTTATTGGTTCTACACAGGCAACCATAGAAGAAATATACTCGAGAGCTGAAGAAGCCTTCATCTCATGAAGGTCCGAATGGAATAACCAAAACAAACAAGCAACTTGGTCTGCAAGAAAATTCAATGAGTTAAAAACTGCAGCAAGAAACATTTAATGAAACTTCTGGTTTCCTGAAGAATCTGCCTACCATGAGAACGAAGGTTGCTTAACAGGGAAGCGGCAGAGGAAATGGAAGCATGTCTTAAGATCTCACTTACCTGAAGACAGAAAACATAAAACTCATTCAAAGTCCATATTTCGGCTAGAGATAACTCGAATTTCCTAAAAGTCCCATTCTTGAATACTTTAAGTTTCAGTACTCAGAGCTAAGATTTTTTTCAATTTAACAATATAACAGATAGTGAATTTATCAATATGATAAAAGGTGATGAAACTACTTATTTCTACCTTGCTTAATATTACTGGAGATAAAAACCATCAATTACTATGTAAAAAAGCCAATGTGAAGCCACACCATGAAAAAAAAAACCCAAAATAGAACTTTACAAGCTTAGACAATGTCTAATTAATTTCTATTCGCTTGCTAGAATAAACTAAACCAAGTTTCTCTCAGTCATTTATTTTTCTATCTAATGTTCAATATAGAGTGCAAGATGTGCAATTAAAATCTAAGATTATACAGTCATTAAGTTGGAGAAGCTTAATACACAAACTGGATCAGTAATGAATTATGTTGTAGCGTGTCATCCCCCTATAGAAAAGAGCTTGTGACGACAATTAAAAACCAATATATTTTATCACATTCATAATTACATAAACAAAAAGAGGAACATAAGCTCAATTATGTTTGCCGGATTTCTTGCTATAAACATTTGAAGCGCTCCAATTTAGCAAAGAAAATGGATTCTTGGCTATTGGAAGCACTGCAGCTGAGGAAATGCTGTTAATATTATTTTCTTTCTTTTTTCTCTCAGATAGATACAGCATAATAATCAACCGAGGTTTCAGGGATAATAAATATTTCTGCTTCATGATTCCTATCTTCCTAGAGGTCTTCTACATCAAGAGAAATTGAACCATTTGGAGCTTTACGAGTAATTTCTTGGACTTTAAGTTCACAAAGATGCTTTGTCCACTGTCACATTATGTCTACATTAAGAAGTAGTCATCTTCGTACTTTGATTAAGATGGCTTATCAAAGTCATTGCCGTGGATTCTAAGAAACTCGGTCAACAAGTAATACCACTCTCAGATCTGGTCAAACACCAAAGCATTTAGGCACTCTGTCAGATCAAAGGCATGGTAGGTTGTCAAATCAAAAGCAACCAGAGCCAAGCTCAGCCAATGCTGCTTACTGCATGCAACTAGGTTTTATGGATATGGCAGGAAATACACCGGTACATGCACATTTTAAATCATCTGAAAATGAATCGGAAACTCATGCTTCCTGATACAAACTAATTACAAAATTTCCATGCATCTTATGGAAACACTTGTGCTGCAATGCCGATGATGACTAGCTACCCAGATGGCAGGAGAAAGTGTTCCCCCTCAAAGAGGAATTACATGTGCAATAAGTAACAGAAAGCACATAGGAAGCTTCTTCTCTAAATATCAATCCTGAAGGATGAATACCCAGTTTACGCAAATATCACCATGAAGCACTCTTTTGTCATCAAGTCTAGCACTCATTCTGATGCATGAGAGATTCTTACATAGGAAGCTTCATCCCAATGAGGTAAAAACACCAACTCCTTTAGAAATTACTTAGGACCAGTGCACATTCGGGGTCCCATTCAATTATAGAAGGCAGTTGGCATTTAGCATTCATAATCATAATATACATACTTAACGCTCAATGAAAACGACAATCACTAATATCCATGTCTAATAACAAATTATGTATAAGGAAACAAAATAAGAGAGAGGTGATCACCGAGTCAATGGCAACTGCAAACCGTCCTTTTGTTTCTCTAATCACTTCTGCAAGGCAGTATGTACCATTATACTACTTTAGTTGAACCCTTTTCAACTAATAGAAATACAATGCCTACAAAAATGATCCAAAACTAGAGTTACAGTATACCTTTTCCCAATTCGACTATCGAGGAAAACAACATATCCAAGTCCCTCACATTTTTACACAAGCTGGCCGTAGTCGCATTCTGTGTGGAACGATTACTAACGATTCCACTCTCTGCAAGCTGGATTTTCCAACCTAAAGGATCTGTATAACAATCCACTATCCTCAGCCTGTTAGCATGATCATTCAATTGAGGAAAGAATCAAAATTTCATCCAAATACATCATCATTTAAAACTAAACCAGTCAGGACAGCTACAGCAAAAACTAAGTTCTGTACCATTTTTTAAGAGAAGCGGCGTCGTTTGCCTTACTCTTCAACAACTCAGCATAGAACTGTGGACTCCGGGCAAAAGCTACCAGCACAATGCCTCTGGATACATAATTTTTTTTTTTTTTTAAAAGTTTGATAATAAGCATAAATAAAAGTCCTATGTTGCTGATTATTAACATAAAATACGATACAATTAGATTGGGGGTGGTTTGATTGAACTTACTGGGCCTGTGATTTTGAGGAAGAAATGTTGGAAGAGAGTTGAGCGAGGATGTGATCGAAGACAAAAGCTCCGAGGGGAGCGTGGATGGAGTCTTTAATGGTGAGGGCCGGCGCGTGTTCGCCTTCTAGAGCTCCGTCGCGGAGAGCTCTGCTGATGGCTTCCGCCGCCATTCCTATGTACTCTCTGTTACTTCTATACTACGACGACGTTTTGTCAGCCCTTTCAATTTTTTTTAAACCTGCTAATTTGACTGCTTATTGGAAAATTTTTACTACTACACTTTTTGATGCTGGCGTGCTGCTGGTTTAACGTAACCATGCCATTGATTAATGTTAGTTTAACATACGTACTTAACCACCTTCACAATAATGCATGCTGGTGGAAAAATCACACCTTATGAGTGTGCAAATTAAGGAAAAAAAGAAAAGTTATTTTATTAAGACTAACAGAAGTTGTTAGAATTTCTTTTGTTGCAAATAAAAAAAACAGATATGAAGATTTCTTTTGACAAAAAAAAAAAAAAAAACCTCACCTTGTAGATATGAGTCATTAATAAATAACTTTATGCATATATAAACAATAACGATGTGGGTCGTCAATAAATCAAAGGAAAAATGATCATTTTTGTCCCCGATCTTCAGAATTTTGGTCAAATTCAGTCTCTTATTTATCACCGTGACTATATTAATCTCATACCTTCATAGAAAAAAACTACGAATATAAGATTTTCATGAAAATTTATAACTTTTAAACAGAATTAGTCATGTGCATAGTATGCATGGAGTTAAAAATGACCTTTTTGATCAATTATCTTTTGAGTCACGTCCAATATCATTTATTATATGTCACCGTATACCATTTGAGATGGGTGCGTCTTTTTATTCTACTCTTTCTTCTTTTTTTTTTTTCAAATGCACACCTATAGTGCATGGAACTGACTTTATTATGTTTCAAATTTTCCATAAAAAGTCCCATATTGGCATTATTTTGTGAAAATAAGGGTCAAATTACTAAAAATATAAAATCAGACACAAACTTGAAGATAATAAACTAAAATGATTATTTTGATGGTGCACATGCCATGGATGTGACTAGTTCCATTAGAATTATTTAAAATTTTCATTAGACATCTTAGATTTTTTTTAAAAAAAAAATACAAGGGACTGAAATGATTGCAATAATAGATTGGAGACTAAAGCTATCACTTTTTCATAAATCAAAGGTTTAGATATATAATCAACGCGTGTGAATTTAACTCTTCCTCTGATCATATTCATCCAATCTATTAACTGATATTTCAATGGGGAAAAGAGGAATATCAGCTCCTAGCCCAAGGACCCACGAATAATACACACTCTCTCTTTTTCCTTTAACAATTACTTGATTAACACCAACTCTCAATGCCGTAATCTAGCTAATAAATTTTTAATGATTTTACAGTGGTATTATCATCCGATAATCCGAGCTTTGCACAAACTAGCCTAGCCTGTCAAAACAAAGAAATTTACACTACTTTATGTTTGTTCATTCAAACACATTTGGGAAAAAGGAACGAACTCAAAATTACGAGAACTAGAGAGCTCACAAAGTGCCTTAGATTTAGTTTTTCTTGTTTATTTACATACTAACGTAGGAAGTGATCATATGAACATGGTTGGAAATGTCAATGGAAAGAAAGGGGCAAAATTTATGTATGGCCACCAAAATTACCAAAAAACAAATTGACTCTCTAACATTTTTGATGGATTTCATAGAATGATTTTGGAGTCATAAATATTAAGAATATTTTTTTTAACAATTATCCTCTAAACATTTAAATTACACGTAATCCACTACGTGTATGTACGTACACACTTACATTTATTCCACCTTTTATATTTAGACACTTGTCAGTCAGTGCAAGTCAGCCAAGCCCAGATTATGAATGTTGTCCTCTTATATTTCTTAAAACATGACACGTTAGCCGGCAGGATCCCATTTCTCCCCCCTCCCCCTTGGGCAATTCGATCCTCCTTTTTCCTTTTGTCTTGTCTTTAATAATTCATTTTCAAGAATCCAAGAAAGGAACATAAACTGGTGATATTCACCCAGTTCTGTTTTATTTCGATGGAGAGTAGGATGGGTTTTTGCGTAGATGACAAATTTTCGGGCAGAAAAAGCTACAGCACGATAAGAAACGATAAACTAGTTGATAAGGCAGCCCGCCATATTTTGACACGCAGCTTGCATTAGCACTGGCACGGGCTCACCCGTGTCAATGACTCGCGTATCTTTTCCAAACCTAAGCCATGTTCCATGATTCCCTGGCTTTATCATCCGTGCTATTAGAGATTATTCCTTTACTTTTTAATCCTAGATTTGGTCAAACGGAACAAGAGGCAAGAGGGGCAGGTCATGAACTGTTCGTGGTCAGATTTTGGGAAAAAAAAAAAAGTGCAGTCCAAATCACTAGTTGTACATCGATTTTCACAATATATGTGAAGCTCGTAAAATTTTGTACTAAAATTATACGCTGTGCAATCAAAATTACGCATTATTAAAAATGATCAAAATCGCCAGGAACTGTTGCAACTGTTCCTGCCCCTTGTCTGGACCGGAGGTGTTAAAGAAAACAGAAAAGGAAGTAGAAGCATAAAACAATCACTTGAAAAAGGAGTCCAATGTAAATTTAGTTGTGTTGATGGTTGCTTCTATGTTAAATGTTGAAAGAATTTAAGCCTGAGGATTCGCAAGGTAGAAAATCAATTATGAATAGTGTGTATGTAAAAAAAAAAAAAAAATTCAATTGCACGACAACCTATCCATTCACCAAGTAATTATTCAAGTACACCGAATACATTTTCAGATTGTCAATTGAAAAGAATTTTCTGATAGGACCAAATGTAAAGAGAGAGAGAGAAAGAGAATTGACAGGAGTATTATTTTTTGGGATAATTTCAGAAACCTCCCCTAAGGTTTCTGACACTTTCACTGGCACCCCCTGAGATTCTCAAAATTTCATTGACCTCCCTTGCTTTTGAGTTTTTTGTAACAATGCAGTCCAAATTTGATTACAATATTATTTTCATGTGTGTGAAGGAATTTTTATTCCACGGCTGCCCCTTTGCTCCTTGTATTAGTAGAAGATTGAAAGAATAATAAATTACTAAAGTTGAGGGGGTGTAAGTACAATACAAAAAATTGTAAGCACTAGATGTGCCAGGGAAAATGCCGGTTTTCATAAATCTTAAGTCAACTAGTATGTTATCTATTTCACATAACTTAAGTAACTAATTAAACTAATTAAATTACCTACGAGTATTACTTTCACATAATTAATTTATGTTAAATACAGAACCTATCAGTTTCCCTTTCGTAAAAATATGAGTGTAATACTTTTTGAATTTTACTTACAACCATTTGTATATTTAATATAAATTAAATGATTCAGAGTAAAATGCCTATAAATAACTTGTACTTTATTCATATAATAGAAAAAACTTGTAAAGAGCTAGTAAAAAGTGGGTGATTTTTTTTTTACTTTCACGTATTTAATTTATGTTAAATACAAAACCTAATAGTTTCCCTTTCGTAATAATATTAGTGTAACAATTTTTTAATTTCACTTATAAACATTTATGTATTTAATATAAATTAAATGATGCAAATTAAATTGCTCATAAATAGCTAGCTAGTACTTTATCCATACAATGGAAGAAACTTGTAAAGAACTTGTATGCTATGAAAATTTTTTTTTACCTTCAAATACTTCATTTATATTAAATACAAAACATGCTACTTTTCCTATCGTAAAAATACTTGTGTAACAGCTTTTGAATTTTATTTGCAAATATTTATGAACTTAACATAAATTAAATGATTCAAAATAAAATGCCCATAAAACCCGGTACTTGGTTCATTTAATAGAGAAAAACCATAAAGAGTTTGTACTTTATAGGATATTTCTTTTTTAAAAAATGATTAATTTATGTTAAATAGATAACCTATTAGTTTTTTTCGTAAGAAGTTACTGTAACATTTTTTTGAATTTTACTTAAAAACATTTATATATTCACAGCAGGCACAAAAATGGCGCCTTACTCCCTAGTCTAGCTTTAATTCATGTATTAGCCATCAAGTTTGTGTTATTGTTGTTAAGCTTGATTAATCACTTAAGATGCATTTTTTCTCCAACTAAACAGTAGTAATACACTCCATCTTCAGTAATAAATTCCCAACTTCATAGGATATATTTGTAATTTTGGCCTTCATGATGTTAGCAAGGGGGCTCAATTTTCTATCAAGGGAGGTCAGTGAAATTTTGAGAACCTCAGGGGTGCCAGTGAAAGTGTCAAAAACCTCAGGGGAGGTTTCTGAAATTATCCCTTATTTTTTTGTCAAGAAAAAACAAACCTGATTGAAAAATTTTCAACAGAGCTCCACGTAGTTTTGGACATCAAAGTTTGCGGGGCCTAGAAAACCGCAGGTGTCAGGAGTCCAACACTAGAATCCGAAGAACATACCGCTTTGGCACTTCACTCGTGATTTGCCAAGTACCCGATTCTTTCCTCAGACTCCTCCCATCCATCCGTCTCTTTCCTTCGTTTGGTGCTTTTTCATCATCGCTGAGCTTGTGGGCCCTAAATCCGTCATCTCCCGCATATTTGACATCACCATCAACCGTCTAAAATAAATGCTAAATATTAGCACCCCACGATCCTCACGGCTCCGTCAGCTAACGCCGTGCCCTGAAAAACAACACATCTCCATTCCCTGTAGTAGTACTACTATAAATCTGACGATATTTTCTGAATTATTTATTTATTTAATTAATTAACTCCGTTACTCCGACTGTGATTGTTCTCCGTCGGACGTTGTGTCCTTCGAACACAGAACTTGCTCCGACTCCCGCTTTAAATAAATTCTCAGACATCCCCAGGCTGCTCACTTCCGAAACGCCTCCTTTTTAAGTGTTCATTCTACTTTCACTCTCTAGGGTGGTTTTGGTTTTGGTCTTTTTTTGCTGCAGTGCTCCATGGAGGCTAATAATCGTTCAGCGGCGGTTGCTGGTCAGGAGGGGAGACTGCTGAGGTTGAGATGTTCGGTAAAGAGTTATGACTGGGGTCGCATTGGGCGGGAATCCAGTGTGGCGCGGCTTTATGAGAGGAATTGTAAGGCAGAGGCTGAGGATGGGAAGCCTTACGCTGAATTCTGGATGGGTACTCATGACTCCGGACCCTCCTATGTTGCACCAGAAACGGCAACGGCAGCGGCGGCGGAGAAGGAGTTGCTCAGTTTGAAGGATTTGATCGAGAAAAATCCCAGGGCTTTTCTAGGGGATAAGGTCTATGATCGCTGGGGTCCCAACCTGCCCTTTCTCTTTAAGGTACTGGTCTTCTTTTTCTGTTGTTTTTAGTTGCTTTAACGGAGTTATTTTGTTAATTTATTTGTTCTGAGCATTTTTGTACTCGTCTATATTGGCTTAAAGTTTTGCTAGTATTTGAGCCAACCTTTCTCCCTAATTCTGAGAAAATTTAAGAGTTATTCATACTGATCTTTCGTTTTCTTCAGGTAATTGATGGGGCAGGGGTGTCGAGAAATTTTTTTTTTTGTTTTATTTGTTTTTGAGTGCCAAGGAATTTTATTTTTTTTTTTGGGTTTATGAGTGGTATTTGTTTATTGATGGGGGTGCCCAGGCTTTTTTTTTTTTTTGGGTTTATAAGTGGTATTTTTCTGGCTCTCTGATTGATGGATTAAATTTTAGGTGCTGTCAATTGCGAAAGCCTTGTCAATTCAAGCTCATCCAAACAAAGAGTTGGCTACCATTTTGCACAAGGCGCAACCAAATGTTTATAAGGATCCCAATCACAAGCCTGAAATGGCTTTGGCCCTAACTGAATTTGAGGCCTTATGTGGGTTTATCAGTCTTGAGGTAACGTAACAAATATTAACATCTGCAGCTTCTTTATTCACATGTGCATTTTTTTTTGCGGCTGGAAAAGGGAAAAAGTCCCCTATAGCCGAATGACACAGCAACATCTAGTAGCAATTGCGTTTGTGCTTCTTAATCATGAGTGTATACTCCTAATCTTGTCTCGATGATACCAACAAAAAGGAAATTTGTTTCAAGCAATGATATAAACACAACTGGATCTATAAACTTTGGTATTAAGCATTTGAAAATTTTGGAAGCATGTTTTTTCATTATGCTCGGGTAAGAATTTGGTAGTAAGGGCTTGAAAAATTTGGAAGCATGTTTTTTCATTATGCTTGGCTAAGAATTCATTGTAATATGATGGGATCTCTGTTTACATGCATACGCCGGTGTTTTGCTCAAACATTGGAGTGGAATATTCTTAGTGCATTTGCGGATGTTCACGGTCTCTATCGTCCATGATACACGACAAATGTTTTGGAGCTGTTGTTGTTGTTGCATATAGTTGTTTTTGAGGACATACAGAAACTTCACAATAAAAATATGTACAGCTAATGACCTGAACTTTAATTGTTTTAAATTCCTGCAGTCGTGCAATGTGACTTTGTTGAAATGTATTACAAATCTTGTTATTGTTTCTCCAGGAGCTGAAGAGTGTTGTTCACAATGTTCCTGAGATTGTAGAGGTGGTTGGCACAAAATATGTCGACGAACTGTTGTGTGTTCATGAGGAGGATGTCAAGAAAGCAAAAGAAGTTCTTCAGCTTATATTTACTCAACTCATGGCAGCTAGTAAGGATGTGATTGCACAAGCTCTATCCAGATTGATTAGTCGTCTGAGTATAAAAAATGAGGTACCTGTGGACTTATATTTTAAATTTGTAATCAAGAGTTGTCGAAATTCTTCGAGTGGGTGACATGACTGTTGAACTTCTTCTGCTCTTGTTATATTCTTATCTTGGTACTATTGCATTCTATGCAATAGCATTTGACTGTTAGAAACTTAGGCCCTAATTGGGAAGGCAGGACCAGTTTTGCTGGCACATGTTAGGTATTCAATGATTTGCCCATGTTTGACTAGCTCCATCCTGGGGTTCTTCAGTACTTCTTGGGTTCTAATTGGCCTCAGAATTGGTGTGTATATATAAATTTAGTCTTCAGTGTTTTTATGAGCTTGTGTGCCGAGATAGATGCAACTATTTTTTCCTCTTATGCTGTGTTTTTGTTATCTAAAGTAACTGGACTTTGTATACTTCTTGATCTGATGAGTTGGTCTTGGGATATCAAGTAGCTATAACAGGTTAGGGAGAGTTGTATTACTAGTCATGTGCCCATTTGAAGTGATGTCCACATTCGTCATCACTTGGGAAGTGAGCACCAAATACTTTTATGGATGTTATCTTTTCTTATCATTGAAATTCTAACATCTTCATTCTCCTCCCTTTTCTTCTTGTTGTTTTTTCCCCTTGGGAGGCCCTTTTTTTTTTTTTGGGAGGAGCGGGGAGAGGATTTGATGCCAAGTTGTTTGACTTTAAAGTGAAGAAGTTAGAGATCAGTCTTGGAAAAATTGGAATTATATTAATTGAACCTTATCTGTTAATGCCAGTCAAGATGTGGTTGATGTACCAAAATTTCTGTATTAAGTAAACAATTTGCCCATCATATGAAGCCTTTCATCCTGGAAAGCATAATCTGAAGAAGTTTAATCATTACTCAAAGATGATTGATTTTCCGAACCTCTCTGTACGAAACCAAATCGAAGCAATTCTAAGCCTTGTCAATGGGGCTGGGTTTGAGAATAATGCACATCTCCAGTATTAGTCAACTTTTACCTGAAGCTTGTACAGAGACTAGGAGATTTTGAACAAGCTTGAGTACTGAATTTTGTTTAATTATACACAATGAGGTTAGACTTAAATCTTTTCTCAAAGATGACCGAAGTCTGATTTATGATTGTAAGAAGATGATTTGATCTTGTGAATCATGTTTACGTATCTAGAACCATGTGCATATGGTTTGATGTTTTGAATGAAGTTTATATGTCATGTGCAATGCATTGTGGTTTTCTTACCATTTTTATATGGTTTTTATATATCATGTGCAATGAAGTTTATGATTGTAATGAATGATTTGGTGCATAAGGCATAATCTTGAACTACTGACCTCATGCAGGCTGCAGCTATAATATATTTTAATGGTCACTTGCATTTGCATTCTCCTGTAGTCTTGTAACCGATCCAGCTTCATGACAACTTTGTTTTTCTCATGTTAATTAGGCAAGGGAGCTGACAGATAAGGAACACCTAGTATTGAGGCTTGAAAAGCAGTATCCAGCTGATATTGGTTTGCTAGCAGCATTCCTACTGAATTATATTAAACTTAAACCTGGTCAAGCTTTATATTTAGGGGCAGATGAGCCTCATGCATATATCTATGGAGAGTGTATAGAGTGCATGGCAACTTCAGACAATGTTGTCCGAGCTGGTCTAACTCCAAAGAGCCGGGATGTCCAAACTCTTTGTTCCATGCTCACATACAAACAGGTAAGGATAGTATTCAAGTTCATGGATGAATAATTCCTCATTCTTGGTACACTTTTTTTTTTTTTTTTTTTGAGTTTCCATTTTTTGAGTTTTAAACTTGTGTAGTTTTTTTAGATCCTTTTCTGTTGAAGGAGCAATAAGTAGTTACTTTGAACTTGAAAGGTGCTGGTAATTCGAATGGCTGCCTGTTATAAATAGTGCGAAATCCAATTTGGCCATACAGTAAAGATTCAGATTTTTGCTGATCCTGAATCTTTTCAGTGATGTTGTTGAGATCAATATCTTGATTTTCACATGAAATGTATATTATGGATAAGTGGCTATGGTTTGCCCTGTGTCTGGGTTTCCATAATGATTCATCATGTTGGGCTAGGAGTTTTTTCAGCTGGACACTGTTTATTTGCAAAGATCATGTAGACTTATTGCAGTGAGTAACCAATTGACCTGCAAACCTCTTCGATTTATTCTTAGTTCGAAGCCCTTTTTATGCCTGTTTTGCTCTGTGTTCCCCTGCTCTTGTTTTTTTTTTTTTTTTTTCAAAGTTTGTCCGGGTTTTATTATATTCAATTTAACGGCTTAGATTGGTTGATTTAGTCTGATGGATGGCTGCTGCAGGGGTTACCTGAGATTCTTGATGGTGTTGCTTTGAATCCGTATGTGCATAGATACCCACCACCTTTTGATGAGTTTGAGGTTGACCGGTGCATTCTTCCCCAAGGATCATCTGTGGGTTTTCCATCAGTCCCTGGTCCTGCAATTTATCTTGTCATTGGGGGACAGGGAACGATATCCGAGGAGTTAGTTGCTGAAGGTGATGTACTGTTTTCACCTGCGAACACAGAGATCACCGTAACAACTACATCAGGCTTGAGTTTGTATAGAGCTGGCGTCAATAGCAAGTTTTTCTAAGCTGGTGGTTTATGGAAACATCTCATCCAAGAAGCACGGTAACAGTCGCACGCGATGTGGCATGTACTGTCTCTCTCTCTCGTATAATATTAGATATGTTTGTATATGCAGAGCTAATAATATATATATCACTTGAATTTTCTTTCCTGGGCATGAATGGCCAAACGTTTTAATGTGGTAAAAGCTTGTTCCTGTCGCGTCAACTTTTTGTTGGTTTTTATTCCTCACTGTCGGTTCTGTGGAGCAACTTTCGGTCCATAGAGACTGCCAGCAAGCAAGAGAGAGAATTTGGTACACATCTAACTTCTTCCCGCGTTGACTACTAGTTAGCATAGCTAACCGTATGCTCGTGCGACGCTAACACCTTATGAGCCAAAGATTAAATTGAATCTGTCAATACATTCTTCACTATCAGCTTGCGCGTGCTTTACTGTTGTCTAGGGATTACTAAAGAGCAACGCTGATACAAGCAAAGCTCTGAGTTGTTCAACATGTTTGTTCTTTAGCCGTGTGTTTGGTAGCTATTTTCTGTTTGTAGTTGGGAAAGAATTTAAGTTTCAATGCTAATGTTACAAATCATTTATGAATCAAATGATAAATAAGTGGATATAGAGCACTATTCTCCTGATATTGAACTGTTTCAGTTTTTTTTTTTTTTTTTTTTTTTTTTTTTTTTGACCAGGGGATAGCCACGCAATTGTTTAATAATCAGGCAGATACATTAAAGATGCGTTGGCGAAGCTAATGGTTGTTTTTCATCATTTCATTTCTGAAGCCCCTTCTTGGACTTGGGTGTGTAAGAGACTCGAACCAATAACGTTTTCTTTGGTATCAAGAATCAAACAGATGTGCTCTTTTATTTTGTACAATGAAATGCAATCTGTAATTGATAGCTTAGTATTTGATGACTTGAAAGGGCCTTGTTTCCCATGATAAAAAAAAAGAGGGAGAGAAATATGAAGAAGAGAAGCCTAGTCATGTGTCCGCATGAATTTCCTTTTATCTCCGCCCAGGCACATACACGTCCAAGCAAATTTACACAGCAATAGGCAGGCTTTTTTCTGTATTAGCCACCTCTTTATCAGATCCACTGAGCCACAGCAGGAGTGCTTCAGCACCTTTCTCCCACGAGCAATCCAACATCATGTCATGGGCTACTCCTTCGAGGCAGATAGGTGACGCACCACAAAACCGGCCTGTTTCATTCAGTCCCTCCATATCCTACAAAATTTTAAATGGTCTTAGATGCACTTCAAATTTTCTGCATACTACTCCTTAAGAGCGATCCCAGTGTAATATGGAAAAAAGTTGAAAGCAATAGAAATCACTCCAGCGGCATGAGAATCAAGAATCAATAAAGACATCATAAGTTCTCTTCAGGTTCATGTTTACTTCTACATCAGCTATCTGTCTAATGGAGATGCTAGCAGTGACAACAAAAATCAACATTTAATGTATGCACTGTGAGTAATAAATTCTGCATTTAATCGGAATATCTATTGAAGCTGAATTTACCACTATGAAGTCATCATTTGCGCCCAGCACCAAAATTTTTGCACAAGAATTGTTCACCGAAGGAACAGGAAGTGAGGCATTTAGCTTTCTTAGGTCAAACAACGGCATCCTCGAACTTTCTGTCATCAACTTTTGGTAACTGAAGAGAAAAAAAAATTTTTATTGCAAAGCTTATTCAGTGCAGAAAAATAGCAGAAGGGAGTTCCAATGAAAGAAACCAAACAATCTTCTAGACCAATATTTTGGCTTAATAACTGTACACAGAGTTTAAGCTACATCAATTTAGGCAATACACCTAGTTTTCTAACCTGCTGATTTTACATCAACACAAATTTATTAATTGCAACATTTGGTAATGTTACATTAATTTCAACTAATGGCAGCTGTTAGTTTCTGAAGTACACACCGTAAAACCAGCTGATCCTCCAAGGAAACAGAGAAAAACGTTTCCTTACAAAGAGGCAGGGAAGTTTGAAAAGCTTTGGCTGCCAAGCTGAGAGTTACCTGTAAAAATTTTTAAGGACACTGAAGGTTAAAGAAAAATTGTTACCAAAAGAAGAAGGTGACACAGAAGTTTGCCAAGCATTGACAAAGCAAGTTTTATGCAATTGTGATTGAATGGTCTCGTAGGCAGACAAACTATGAAGTTTCTCAAACTAAGTAATGCTTTCAAAGAAGAAAAATTAGAATTAAGAGTATAGTAGTTCACAAATGATCTGTCCAAATCTTAAAAATAACAGTCTGAAAAGTAGAAATAAATGAGGAAGTAAAAGAATGACATTATTAAGACGCTCTTTTAAGGATGCAATAGAAGCAGTGTCAATATATTCACAGCAAGAAACAGAGACCTTAAATGCAGCAATAGGTTTGGAGAAGAGATATCGCCATACTGCTTGGCTGGATAAAGTGAACGAAATATGTTAGTCTGCCATAAGTAATGGGAAAGATGAGGTTGTTGCACAGGCAATCACCTATTACCAGAAGGAGGTACGGAGCAAACCAGCGCTGCACCAGCAAGATAGGAGTGCAACCTTCCACTCTCTAGACACAAAAGCCAAGAAAAGAAACAGCCAAAAGTGATCACAAGTAACTTATCTGATAAAAGAATTTGTTACCAATTACAGTAAATAAAAAATTATGTTAATCATGCTTGTGATTTAAAAAGTCACAAAAGCTACTACAAGTTTGCTTTTTCCAGAAGAAGGATGGAGCAATCACCCTGAAGGAAAGTACTTTGGCATATAACCTATGTAAATTTCACGCATCCCTGACTAGATATCAGATTTATGACAGTTCATCCTTGAGGCAACCCTTGTCACAGTTATTTGAACCTTATGGTTCAGGAAACAATATATTTCCTTTCTCCAAAATAAACAAGGTTAGCCACTCAAAGGCGATCTATTTGCTATATGTCCTTTTGTTCTTAGCATTGGATAGCTTAGTTATCAAGCTTGAAATTTGAGGGTGATAAGCATCTGACATTGGAGTTAAAATATGTTTGTATTTCAGTCTAATATCCAGTAGCCATAGTAGATTCACTCTGCCTTCCTAAACATGTTTATATCTCCAAAATTTTAAAATTACCTTGAATTTTGTTGGATCTCATATTAGCAACGTAATATTGCACGATCAGTCCCCCAAATGAATGTCCTATTAAGACAGGGCGCAGTTTGAGTTCTTTCTGGATGAAGTCAGCAACATTACCTGCATGTGTCTACTGCAGAATTAAACTGGTTTAGTGGGAGAAATAAGATAAACGCAGGAAGCACTTAAGGCTTAATCTCTGAGAAAGGTACTCTCTCTATATCAGTTTCTCTTGTTCATTTTTTCCCTTATCCTATTCCCACTGCTCTATAAGTACTTAGAAAGGATTGGCAATTTGAGCTACAATACCTGGAGAGTACCAGCAACAGGACCAGCAGGATCATCGCTTTCTCCCTGACACAATAGTGAGAAATTGAATCAGCATCTGATATCATATTTACGTGTATTATAAAGCCCCAAGACAAGGTACAACTGTTGGGAAGGGGGAATAATCAATAGAACCCGGCTGGATCCGGGCTGGGATAATGGTGTCCATTCTTAACCAGCTCCGAAAGGGTTCCTTCCAAAAGGTTTTGAAGCTTTTACTCCAATTTCAAGATATTCCAAATGGGATGTCTTTTGAGCAAGACAAAGATCACTGATAAGCAATAGCAGAAACGGAAAAGGCACATTCTTTACACTATCATATCATCGAGTACACTAGAAGGCTTGTAGAAAATCAAGCTTACATGTTTCCTGATGCTGCATTAGCACTTATACATGGTTTTGGTTAAGAGGGGAGAAGGGATGAGGAGCCTGATGCAAGAAGGGGCCATGCTCAACTGAGACTAATGATGGTTAGCAATTTATCAATATAGACCAAATGTTTTTCTTCTCAGTTTTCTTTAAACTTATGTACCTTCTCATTTCTTGAGATAAGAATTGCTCAAAGCCATGTAAATCAAGATTAATCCACATTCTTGGATTGGACTTTCCGTGAATTAATCTGAAGCAAATATTTTTTTGGCTATCGATTACTCAAAAATAATAGTATAAAAAGAAATTAGGAAGCTATATTTTGTCAGAGAAATTTAGATTGGCAGTCTAGGCGTTAAGGAACATAAATCCAATCATCCACATATCTAAACCACGGAAATTTATATCAGTAATTCATAACTTTGATGTATCTTTCTTAATTAACATTCTCGATAATATTTCATCAAAGCTGAGTTTCAAGAGCTCTACACAGCCACAACTAACACAAGAGTACCTGACCCAATAAGCTGAGAGCATAGCAATCATATCCATTTTGGGAAAAATACGGCAGCCAATGCTCAGCCCAGCACCAAGCTGCATGAAAGCTCCCATGAACGAACACTAATGGTGGGATTTGAGATTCCTCTTGCCTCTCGTCTGAGCTTTTGTGCTTTAGGCCCTCTTGGAAGATAACCTCCATGTTCAACCCAGAGGGAAGCTTGTGGAAACGACGTGACTGCCCTTGTTTCAGTTCATATGGAACCCGCATTTTGTATTCTTGATTGAGCGCAGCTCTTGGCATTATGGCGGTTCTGCTCTTTCTCGGGATCATGCTCGTAGTCAAACTCAGAGTAGCCATTGCTGGGATTTGGGAGACAAAGCAAAGCTAACCTACGGTTTCAGCAGCACTGTTTCACCAATCCCCGGCTTGAATTTTATCGCCAAGGAGTTGTCCTTTTGACTTTTTAACCCCTACTAGTTAATGAATTTGTAATTTCGGTCATTAAACTTTTACATTCATGCCATTGTAGCCTCAACGTTTTGGATCTTGGAATTAGAAGTATTTTTTTCTTTTTCTCTTTCCGACAGCCGTAATTACTAACTTACAATTTTCCCTTTTGCCTATCACATCCTCGGGACAAATTTACTGCAACGGTGGAATAAGTATTTTTTTACCGTTAAATCATAATATTTGTATAACCTAATATATCATATTCTAAAGAAGAGGAATCGATGACCAGCCTTTGAGTTGGTAGCTACCACCAATGCATTAAAGATTGGTGGGTTGAGAAGCCACATTAAAGTGGCACTGCTTAAAAAATTTAGGTTGATGCGTAGTATATCCATCTGGTCCGTTGGTGATTCAGTTCTCTTCAAATTATCTTTGGATTGCTTCGGGTCTTCCCCTTCCCCCTAGTATAGGATAATCTATCATATTGACCAAAGAAAAAAAATAGAGGGAGAGGGGTCCAAAGAGAATGTCTAATCTATTCTATTCTATTTGTATAACCTTATGGTTGCCAACAAAAAAAGGGTCTCTTAAATCGTAATAATTTTATTATTTAAAATATAAAGCACAATCATCGTTGAGAAATATAAACCGAGGGAATAGTTTCCTGCAATAACCACAGTATCTTTCTAGTTCCTAGATTCCAAATGGTACATAGACTTGAGCAATTTTGATTACTCGTCAGCAAAACCAAGGTGGATGGGTGGCTTCTAAATCTTGATCAGGTGCAGAATTATCGCTTTTGATTGTTCTTTTTAGAAGTTATTTTTAATAGAATATATATTGTAACAATTGAATATATATGAGTTAAAATAGTGATAAGGAAATATGTTCATAGAAAGTGAAATTTTTTTTGTAAAAAATAGCAATTCCAACAAGGTCGGACACTATTCTGTTTGAAAAAAAAAAGAAACCTATAACCAGATGTTATTTTGTTTGGAAAAAAAAAACTACAAGTGAATATCTCTCTATATTACTCAAAAAAAAAAAAGAATATCTATCTAAATAATAAAGCATGAGTAGGGATTTTGTGTTAACGAAAAATGCCATTATTTGTTATTCCAAAAATGTCATTTCAACATTTACCATTATCCACTCACGGTCTCATATGAAAAATCTCCCATTCCTATGTAATTACCACTACGCAACTATCACTACACTTAACTAATCTACCAATGAAAATTGCATCACCGTAATCTCTCATTCCTACATAACTATCACTACACTTACTAATTTAGCAATGAACATTGTATCACCATCCAAAAATCTCTCTAATTAGTTTTTTATTCTATATATATTTTTTATTACTTTTTTTTTTTCAAAATATGCATACGTATAGCGTGTTTTCTTATCCACTAGTTTATTTATACTTTCAGTTTAAAGATTGAGGCCCGACAAAGATCCAAATTCTAAATCAATTGAAGCCCAAACAAACAAACGGACCAACTACCCCACAATCAGCCCATTCGGCCCTGTCATTTAACCGCAGCTCCGCTCGACCAAGGAATCAACTTCTGGTAAAAATTTTCCCGGACTAAAGCGACGTCGACGACGACGACAAATTCATCGGCGATTGAAGCAATTTCTTGATTCCAGATGCTTTAGGAGTGCTGAAGCAATTAACAATCCATTTCTGAGCAAATTCTTTCAGCAGATAAAAAGAAAATTTTGAAAAGATGATGTCCCCTAGGCAAAATCTAGACGATCGAGGAGGAGGAGCAAGTTCTTTCCAATCAGCTAACTTTAGGTAATGCTAAAACTTCTACTTGTTCTTGTTTGTTCAATTTTTTTTTCTCTTCAAAAATGAATCATTGAAGCCTCATTTTTAATTCTACGTTTGATTCACTAGTATGCTTAATTATTAGCATCTGTTGCTGTTGGTAAGTACATGTATCTGCATTTTTTGCTACTCGAATTTGCTGGATGGATATGTTTAAGCAAATAAATTCCTCTGTTAGGATTTGAGTTAATTACGTTTATAAAGTATTCTAAACTTGAAGTTTTCAGTTGATTCAGTAATTCTACTGCTCACTGTATCTTTAATTTCACTGCATTGCCTTGTTTAATTTGATAGCATTTCTTTGTCTTTTAACTTTACGCTTTTTTTAGGTTCGTTTGCTCTATCGATCTTTTTACTTGTCTATTTTCAAGAGTTTCATTGTTGGAAATTTTTTAAGAATTTGGTAGGCTTTCTTGAATTAGCAGCTTTAATGATTCTACTGATGTAATAGTTGTTTCAAATGTGGAAAACGCTTCAAAATGGTGATAAGAGGCTTTCTTTAATATCAACTTAGACAAGCCTACTAATTGTGTTGTTCAATTGTAGGCGAACTCCCTTGCAGATAATCCATGTTTTTGGCAACTTCATGAGGATATGGTCCGTTTACACTATGTATCGCTACTTGTCTCAAACAGGAGCGTCAGTTGTTCTTTTTATTTTCAGCTGTCTTGTTCCAGCATCAATCCTGTTTTTAGTTTTGCAAAAGCCTTGGAAAGGCAGGTCACTCTCTAGCACGCAGGTCTTCTCAAAATACTCCACTTATGAATAATTAGACACAGCTAGGAAATCTTCAAACGTTTGTGGCTTAACAATGACATTTATTTTCTGGCATTGCTCATTGTTTCTACAGGTTGTACCTTCTGTTATAAATGGTGGTATAACAGCTCTGTATTTCATACTGTGGGGAAAAGGTGTTAAATCTTGCGGTCCTCTTAGGTAAGTTTTTCAATCTGTTCTAGTGATCCTCTCTTGTAATTTTTTGAATGTGCTTTGGTTTGTTTATTGATGACAATTCGCAATATGTGGATAAGTGATAATTAAATTTTTTAAAAATAAAATGATGCATAGATGAACATTTACATCACTTAGAGTGATAGTGTGTGTAATCTCCTTTGGTGTTTTCTAAGAGCTTGGTTGCCAAGGGCTAATCCCTATGTTGGAGAGAGAGAGAGAGAGAGAGCCATGACTTACTTGGTCCTTGATCTCTCTTTGATGTTCTTTTCTGAAATTCCTCCCAAAGCAGAAATAGGATATTCGGATAAGTTCTTTGGTTTCATTTCGTGTCTTTGAATTCCAGAAGTTTAGTGATCTTCAATGTGGCCAGTCTTGCAATTATTCTTGTTTGTGTAATATGAACAATTCTCTCACTCAGGGCAATATTAGCTGAATATTCTGGAGCTGTTCTTGGAGTATTATCTGGTGTACTATATGGAAGTAGAGGCCATGTTTGGAAGAAGGTAGACAACTTTCTATTCCTTTTTGATTCAAAAGCTTGTTCAAAAAGCTGTCAAGTTGATTATGTGCAAGATATGATTCTCTTATTTTAGGTTTCAGAACAAGAACTTGGCATGACAGGCTGGTGATGTATCTTGTTTAGCTGGAATACATCTGGAGTCTTCTTTGAAATTTATTATACATGTCCTTGCTTTCTTCTTACTAGGAGAAATGCAAGTCTGTGTGTCGGCTGGAGTTGTAGTGTGGTTGCACTTCCAAGTCAGTTAGTGGTCTTCTAATTTGAGCTCAGAATTATGTGCACTTCAAGGAATAAATAATGCTGTCGCTTATGTTCTCATCTGACTTCGATCAATCCAGTTAAAATCCATATATACTATTCATCCTTTTTGCTTATAGGATTTGTGTTTCCTTATATCTATCAGGTAGGTGGACTTGTTGCAATGATGGCATCATTTTACTTCTTGTCTCAAGGATGGGCCATGGCCACATATTCTCCCTTTAATATCCTTTCATTTTAGATCTATATTTCACATTTATTGGGAATCTGAGTGCTATTAGAATTTTCTTGCATATTGATTTTTGACAAACAGATTATCTTGTTCACAATTGTCAGCTTAACCATAATATACCATTTAGTGATAGTCCTGATGTTGAGGTTAGGACAGATCAAGTTGTGGGAATGAAGAAAATGCTAGTTCCCATTGTTGCTGGTGTCTTATCAGCACTCAGAAGGGTGATTGCAAGACGTGTCTCACTCAAAGTATTGACTACTTCACCTTATCATTCTTTGTGTATTTTCTTGATCAAAATATAACTATTAGGTTTTGGGTAAGAGTTTGTAAGACCTGACTCTATTTGTTTTATGGTTGCAGAATCAACTTAAGAGGCGGCTTCATGCAATAACTATCACTTCTGCAACTTGTTTTCTGTTCCCTGTGGCTATGTGGGACATGATTATAGTGAGTTTGATTCTATGGCTTCTGTGGCATTTTGAACAAGCCCTGGATGCCCTGTATCAATATTTTCAGGGTGATTTAGATCTGGTAAATGCTCATAATCTGTTTCCTCCTCCTCCTTTCCTCAGGGAACAACCAGCGTAGAATTGCCATTTTCTGCATGGGCATTTTCAAGCACCATCTTCTTTGGTGTTATGTTGATCTTCTATGTTGACAGTATCGCAGAGGAGAGGTACCCTATTGTTTATTCCGTTCATTGCCCTTTGCTTTGCTAGTTGAATTTTAGTCTATACTCAGTGCATCAGCACCAGTTCACTGGGTGATTCACGATTCCAAATGGATGCTTCCTGTTGAGCTTCAAACTTTAGAATGTAGTTTAAATCCTTAGCTTTAAACTTTAGTTCTATTTACCTTCACAAACACTTAGTCGTACTGTTTAAAATCAGAGGAGATAGATGACATGTCAGAGTATATTGACCTTTACTTAACGGGATAATTGCATGCTCCCCTCCCCCCCTGTTGTACTGGTTAATTCATCAACCAATTGGTGTTTCTTTTGATTTTTAGAACTTTCTCAACTAACATTTGCTGTAGCCTATACGGTCACGCTTTTACGTGGCATGCCATTCAATTTCAGATAGATTGCTCCTATTTTATTGAATGTTAACCTTCATTTTACTAGAAATATGTTTAAGCACTTAGTATGCTATATAACTTAAATATATTGTTCTTGCCTTGTGGAGTTCTTGTTTGTGCATTTTTTCACATTTAAAATTGAGTGTTTAATAAGGGACACTAGAAATAACTCCTCTTTTCCTGCCCTTTAATGTTTGCTCCAAAGAAAGAGGCAGGTTGTTGCGATGTTGTATATTTCCAATTTTCGGGGGGTTACAAGAGTTGATGTCTTGAGTTTGGGTTGTATTGCTTTACATTTAGCTACAAGGTCTTGCATTTCCCTAATGAAGTCTTGTTTGTGGCTCCTAACTTGTCAGTCTTTCCTATCTGTTTGTAGATTACATATGGTTTTCTCTTCTCCGAGACATTTGATGGTCGCAGGAATATGCATCATCGTCATGGAAATTGTGTACAAAATGGACTTCTCGCTCCTGGGCTTTCTGATTTGTGTTGCAATTTTGGGCTTTGGTATGAAACGAAAAGCTGTCTTCATTTTGATTATGGTTATCAGAAGAATGAGCAATATACATTATCAATTTTTGTGTAGTTGTGCTGGCTAACAAAATTTTCCAAAGTTGTGCTGATAGTTTATTTTATCTTATTTTTTGAAGCTGAGAATCTAATGTTCTTTAGTGGGTTAGGGTCTTGGTTTTTGCTAGGTTAGATTCTCGCTGGCTGCATTCTCCTTTTTCATCACTTCGTTCCACCCTTCCCTTCTTAGATAAATTCAAAGCAATGTTAAATCATTTTGGAAGCTCACAATAGCTATTGTCCCACAATTATTTGATGGAATTTAAATGATTTTTGCCTAAGGTAAAGGTCTGAGATTAAACAGAAGCCTGGGGACGCCAACTCTTGAGCGAATTGTCTATGAAAATGAAAAACATTCATATATATTATAAAAGATACCAAGCTGACTTAGCATCTGATATGGTACAATTGTTAACTGATTAACAGGAATTTAGTTGTTTATATTTTAGTTCCCGTCTTTTCAATTACCAGTCATTAGCATTAACCCGTAGCATAGAGTAAAGATATTTATTTGGTAAATGTATTCTTGCTTCAAGCGTGTATTTTGATGAAGGGCCAGCATATTGAGTAGTGGTTTTAGGTGCATTAATAATACAGTATGAAATAAATCTGTTCTGTTCCTTTCGACACAAGTCTTTTCATTGCTTCATGTGCCAATACTTATGATTGGGTACAATTATCATTCAACATCTGCGCATTTAAATTGCCTCTGTATTTAACTTCTAGCTTCTTCAATTCTGTTAGGAATATATGAAGCAACCTCATTAGACCGATTTCGAAAAGATGCTCAACGGAAATCAGATGCATCAAATGGAATTCTTGAGGATCGAATCGAGATGTCTCCTCTTCCAACGTGACGTGACTAGGTAGCTCAAGCTTGTGCATGTAAGACGCAGTAAGCTTCATTCATTGTTTCATTATTGCTTTGACTTTGAGTTTCATTAAGAGATTTGAAGCAGAGGTGGAGGGCTAATAAGGATTTTGAATAATCTGTGCTTCATGGAATAACTAACTGAGGATTCATGATAATTCCTATGGAAGTGTGTTGTGCTTAAATGAATCAAGATTGAATGTTAATATTATTATATAGCTTTAGACGTTCAAGACCAATTTCATCGGAAGTTAATTAGGAATATTAGATCTTTCACTGGATTAGGAGAACGGAAATGTCACCAGTGAAAACGTACATCTGTTTAACAGAAAAGTATGGGACAGGATGAGTACAACTGAAAACTTTAGGTCTCATAGTCTTCTGTTAGGTACGATCATGGCTTAGACTGCTGACGTTTCCTCATTTTCTGTTGCAGATGCAATCTAGGATTATTCTTTAAAAAGCAATGGGACTGGTGCAGAAGCGTTGATCTCTGCGTCCACATGGGTGACTAAATTTGCCGCAGGATATTACAAGTATTGCACTGCGAGCAGTGAGAAGCGCCACAAATGTTCTAATGTTGGGAGTGACGTAAAACCCTGCTCTCATTGCAGACAAGTCAAGAAAACTGGAAATACATGCTGTGGTTGCTTTATTTCTTGTGTCGCCCCAACCATTTTTATTTTGCCAGCACTGGGACAGGTTGGAAGTGAGGAACCATTGTACAATATATACATTTAGTTTCCTCGTTTTGCTATTCTCTCATCCTCCTCTCCCCCCCCCAACCCAACACAAAAACACACACACACACGCACACAACCCCTTCCTGTTGCCAACCAAAACTTTTCTGTTGAATTTCCCCAGTGTTTAAACATTGAATGTCTTGTCCTATCGCCTTATTTTTCCTATTCTCCATCTGCCGGTTAGACAATTTCAACGCATAGCACGTTCAGAGCTTTCTTTCTACTTTTTAAGTTGGCCTTAAAACTTGTATGAAACTTGTTTAAACGTTACAGCAACAGTTTCCCGCCAACAACCTCTTGGGTTGTTGGTATTACTAAGACTTAAATGTTTCGGTGGGAGGGGGAGGTCAAGTGTTCAATCCTTGACCTCTCACCTTGTCACTTAATTGTACGTGACTGGAAGCCTGCAACATGTAAGGACGTTCGAGGAACAGATGCAGTCCACTTTCGCAAAATCACGGCAATATTTATGAGGCCTGTTATGGATCCTTCATTAAAGATCTCGTCGTCGAGTTTTTCGTTCCGGTAAATATAATTCCGACTATGGGAAAATTGTCCGACTGGTCTGATGCGAGGGAACTTGTGCCTTTTTCAACTAATGCAGGCTTGGCGCAGAGCTTGCCAGTGTAAAGACGGAGATGGCTAGTCGATTTACTACTTCCGTTTACGCTATTGGTGTTCGATAGAAAGTCTCAGAGAAATGTCCCTTCCCCTTCAAATGTTCGGCAAAATCAAGCAACAGCTAAACTTCCGCCACCAAACTCTGATCTCCCCATAGCTCTGAAATCTGCAACCACTGGGCACCCGCATCCATGGTGTTGCCTCTTTCTTCGTCTGATCCTCCGTCTCATCCTCCGCACCTCCTGAAACCCACAAGAAAAATCATCTCTTTTTCACGCACTCACAGCAACAACAGCTTCGGTAGATCACCATCCCACAGCTGCAATGGACTAACGTTTGTTCGCAGTAAGAAACCTCTGAGTGATCTCAATGCCTGGGGAATTGGAGGACCCTGCAATTATTTCGTCCAAGTCTTTGATCAATCTCAGCTTACTACTGCCATAAGGTGCCGCTGTCTTTCAGACTTAATCCTCTTTGCGTCCTGCTTCTGTGAGCATAATGTGAAATTTATTGCAATGCAGGTATTGTAGGGAGTATTCCTTGAGGTTTATGATCATCGGCAAAGGCTCAAATTGTCTCTTTGATAACATGGGATATGATGGTTGTGTTATCCTCAACTGGATTGATTTCTTGGAAAAGATTAGATCGGTTGGCTACAGAGTTGGAAGGGGCTATCCATTTAATCGGTTAGGGGTGCAATCTGCAACTGAAGGATTATCAGGGCTGGAGTTTGCTAGTGGAATCCCTGGAACTGTTGGTGGTGCTGTGGCTTTGATTTTACTACGATGAAGAATTCAATTGCACCAATATAACATATTGTCTAAACTGGTGACGGTATAGTTCAACAAAGAAGTCCAAGACTAGGCGAGTTGGCGAAATGTTCTAGCAGACCCTTTTTTTTTTCGGTTTTGAATGATTAATTTCATTTTTTTTTTCTGGAAATGCTAACTGATGGATTTACATGTGTTTCTTAATGAAGGAAATTGCTGATGCAATTGATACTGTGGAAATTATAACATCTGATGGCGAATATCAGATTCTCCACCAGAGATAAGCTCACGTTGGGGTATCGATCATCCATATTTCAAGACATGAAGAACTTAGCTGCCATTGTTGCAGTCGCTTTTCGATTGAATAACTTGGAATCAGCGAGAGATAAGCAGCAAGAATATTTGGAAAGGTAATATTAAAGAACGTAATTAAGAGTATTGGAAAGGTAATAAGAAAGTAGGTAATCAATGGTCATGCAAATGGGGCTTTTGAGGAGTCAATGAATCCAACGAGCTCTGTGTTTTCTCTGCAGAAGAAAACTGACTCAACCACTGGGGAAGCGAACTGCTGGTTCAGTGTTTCGAAACCCATCTCTTTGAGGTATCTGAGCAGCAGAGTTGATTGAGAGATCTGGACTTAAAGGATTCAAACTGGGAAAGGCTGTGGTCTCCAATAAGCATGCAATTTTCTTCATAAATTGTGGTGGTGCAAGTTCTCAAGACATGCTCAAGCTTATTGGCTTGGTTAAGCAGACTGTCTATCAGAAGTTTGGAGTAAAACTGAAGGAAGAAATTTTGAATGTTCACCCATATATCGAACATTCTATTCCAAATGTGTGTAATGACAGTATCAAGTAACCAGGAAACTGAAACTACTTTTCCTAATGGACAAAAAATAATCATATTAATAATTTCTGCATAGTTTCTCATGATTTTTCACATTGAACGCCTTTATGCTATTGATATAATTACTACGAATGTTGGATCATCTTCAAAGAAGGAACCAGAATGATCCGTTCATTGCTAATGAATTTGCTGCTTGACCCTGCTGGTCAGAGCTTTGGTGATGAAGTGAGCAAGAACTCCTACTGGACAAAATAGCAAGCACAGAGAAACTGAATGCCGAGTTTCAACATTGTCCTGCAGCCCATCATGAAAAACCTGCCTGCTTGCATGGAAATCACAAGAGCATTATTAAGTGTTCCAATAACTAAAGACCAAATCCCCCCCCTCTCCCCCCCACAACCCAAAAAACTCCCAATGGGGGTCCCAGGATCCCTCAAACCCCAAAGAAAATTTACATAGACAGACCTTGCAGCAAAAAGATCCACCGCCAGCAGGTGAATCCATGCAGAAGCAAGTGTCATCTCACTGGAGAACAACTTTGCTATAGCAGACAGCTGAGGGAAGCAGCCGAGTTGACAATGTTAATCTCTAACCATGATGAAACATAAATTCAAATGCGTCCATTTGTGAACATACCTCCGGCAGCCAGTTTTTACTAGAAAACATGAGACGCAATGTATCTGGTGTCCAGGAGTGATATAGAAGATATGCATATAACAGTCCCAGCATAATATAAGGTATGCTGCTTTCCATTAACTTCTTGGTCTGCATTTGATGTAATACAACTAGTTACAACATCGAATCTTATTTGAAGTCTCAAAACCCAAAGTGAACAATTATCAGGATCAGTTGCTAATCATTGAAACAAAATCATCTCGCTGGAGCACTCAACAAACTGAAATAGAAATTCAATTGAGAGGTGGAAGAACTTGAAACAGTGCAGCATCACTTGAGAAAATAAAAAGTTGCTTTTTTGGTATAGTTCCAAGATGTCCTTACTTACCAATTCAGCTTTAGGTGCTGCAACCATGAGTGTATAAAATGGAAGAACTGCTACAGTTCCAAATGTAAAAACACTAGCTGCAAGTTGAGAGCTCGGCAAACCTGCATAGCCAAATAAGAGAATTTTTAATGCTAGAAGTGTAACATTCACAATCTTTGTTTGCCTTGCAAGCTTCTTTCCACATCAAACAAGCTGCTATAGAGAAGTGCAATAGTTTCAGTCACTAAAATCAAAGAATATCTAAGGCTAGAAAGGCATTTTAAATTATAAATCATAATGCATCAAGCACAAGGTATGGCCTCTATATGTGTAATTTTGTCTAGCATGGAAAGAAAAACTTCTACAATCCGAAAAGACCATAACATGTTTCTAAGACTACCTTCTTTAGTCTTTTTACCACCTAAGTGATTTAAGATTCCCATCTATTCACAGCTGCGAAGCATCTGTACTCTGTAATGCTTGTCAGTTGCGAGCCAGCTATGCAGGAAAAATAAACTGCTAACCGATGATAGACTTCTACCCGCCCTATTAAACAGAATGACCCTAAATAATCTAAATGTGCTCAAAGACAGAAGGAAATGGTAAGTCACGTATAAAGATTACATGAAGCATAGACTCTGCAATCAACAGCTCGTCCAAGATTTGGGTGAATGCTTGCTATTGGTCTTCTGGGAAAGCTCCATTCAGTGCTTAGCTTGGTTCCCAATTTTTCCGTTTGTCCAACAAAGAGCTGTTTATTCACACTTCTGAAAGCAAATATGGATCTCTTGTTCATCCTCATGCATTCCGAAAATCTGTAACACAACCCTGTGCGCTTAACCTACAAGCAATAGGCACCAATGTTGACTACCATTAAAATTCAAACCCTCACAACGACATGATTTATTGAACTGTTTTGGCAAATTTGGGATTTCTAGGAATTTGCTTCTTCTTTTCTTAATAGTTGGATGTGTAAAATTACAGTCATGGCTTCACATATATGCATCAGCAGTTATGCCTAAAATGTGAACCTAGTTAGAAGCCTACATCTAATGAAGTGGTGACTCTTAGTAGATTCAACTCAACAATATTTTGCATATTGGGCACAACCTATCGGATCTTCAAATAAGGTCACGAGATTGCGTGCAAGGTTTTATGTCCGAAAAAAAGAAAACAAAAATAGCAAGAGACTGTATAAGAGTGAGGATGAGAAAAACAGGGCAAAAACAGTATCTTTGCAAGCATAGGTTAAAAGAAGCAGTAACCAAGTAGAAGTTTGATTCTTTTTTCCCCAGTGGAGAGGTCATTCCATTAAGTTGCGAATTACGCACAAGATGGGAAAAAGAAATCGCACTTCCAGCACAAAATATCAATGCAAGGGAAAAAAGATCTGTGCTATTGGGTAGTTCTCCCCTTCAGAACCAATTCACGAAACTCATAATTGAGTTCCCAATTCACAACTTTGTTTCCATTATTACCTCAATTGAGATATAATACTAAACGGAAGGATTGAAGAATCAAGCATGGTAATTACTGTAACCTTAAGGTTGCAATTGTTAACGATTGAAGTGAACCGGAACCAATCCATCCAATTCATCCAGTCCTCCTCCATTATAACTTCCGCGATTGGTTATAATGTATGACAGAGCTATCATTAACTATATTCAATTCCTCAATATAAAGGCCATTAAAAAGCATGGTCAAAAGAAGAAAACTCAAGAAATGACAAACTGAGATTGAAAGCTGTGAAATTTTTTGATGTGCACAACAAAGCAACAAATCCCACAACCACAGAAATGAAAACCAAGACACAAAGAGAATGGATGATCAGCATTCGTGTAAAACGTACAAAGTGATACAGAGAAAAGCATCAAGAACTTACCTTGAATGGCAATTGGGCTTGGGTAAAGCTAGGAGAGAAGGCCATCTTTGGTGTGGAATCGAGATCGAACAAGAATTGCAAGAACTTAAAGAGCAAAAAGCGCTTTCCTTTAAGTCATGAGTCAGTACTCAACCTGGGTATATACAGAAAGGGCTGAAAGTAATGGCCGGTAGGAAATTCGCTCCCGAAGACACGCAGCTTCTGACTTGGATTAAAATAAGAAAGAAAGATTTGGAATGAATTCATGGTACAACTCTGCACTATCATCGTCCCCGTCCCCGTCCCACTATGCTAGCAGCCGCCCAACACTAGTCCATTATCAGACCAAATTTACCGAACTTCCACTCAACCAAGTAAAGCTCAAGCCTCAAGATCAATCGGGACAAGCTCATTGGATGGAAGTTTGTGCCTCTCGCCTTTTTAGGATGCATGTCCCAAAATTTGTTGTGGTCTCTCTTCTCAGTCAAATCTAGGATGAGTCATGTGTCTGTACACGTGGCGCTCATGCAGGGTAGTCGGCTATTGCCACCCAACCAATTGGTGGAGGGGCGGTCTGGGATTGGTCTAATCTCATCCGTTTGGAGATCAATTGGGTATGCTTTCAGTCAGGGTCCCGTGTCCTTTTCTCTCTTCCTTTGGTGAAGGGAAAAAATATACACCCTCCGTCCTATTTTGATAGTTCTATTTTTCTTTTTCATCTGTCCCAAATTATAGTTCATTTTCTAATTAAAAAATATAATTATATTTTAGGATAAAAAACAAAAAAAACCCCTGTGGTAAGCCTAATACACAAAAAAGCCCCTTATGATTTCAAAATATACAACACGGCACCTCATGCTTTGAACTAAATTGTAAAGGTGACGGAATCCGTTAAATTTAACGGAAATGACTTATTGGAACCTAAAAAAAAATTTTATACCTAATTTTTATCAAATATACATATTCTACCCCTTAATCCTCAATTCTCTCTATTTAAAGAATAAAACAAATGATTTTTTTGAGTTGTCTTTTGCTTTATTATATCAGGGCATTTTGGTCATTTTGTTCATTTCCGTTAAGTTTAACGGATTCCGTCACCTTTATAATTTAGTTCAAAACATGAGGGGTCGTATTGTATATTTTGAAACTATGTGGGGCTTTTCTGTGTATTAAGTTTATTATAGAGGGCTTTTTTGTTTTTTACCCTACATTTTAATATTCCTAAAATACCCTTATTCAATGTAAGTTGTTGTTACTATAAACCTACTCCATTTAATAAGAGTTGATTCTTTTTTTACTATCAATTCAAGTTCTCATAAAGTTGTACTCTAATTAATATGAGAATATTTTAGAAAAATAGTTACCTAAATTGATTGTTCCAACAAAATTAACTACTTTTTTTTTAAATCGTGTAAAAAAAAATCAAAACTATCAAAGTGGGACGGAGAGAGTATCTATATCTATATGTATTGAGGAAGGGGTTTTTAGCGGAAACCCTTTCAATGTCTTCTGAACTTCCCATTCTTTTTTCTAGATTTTTGTATTTATTTTAATAAATAAAAAGTAGTGGGTTATAACCAACCCTATCACCAGTCCAATTTAAAATTTAAAACTTCCCCACTATCTCTTATCTCATCTTACAACCACTCCTACAAATCCTCTAATCATCATCCCATGTTTTCCCCCACATTTCCTCCCACGGTTCCCACTCCAATTAAGAGTCCTCCAATTTAAGAATCCCACCCCAATTAAAACTCCTCCAAATATAGCATCCTCCTTAAATTTTCTTGCGTGCTCATTCGTATTTGTTGGTTAACCAAAACAAGAATCTATTATCTCTTTCATCTATTGATTTTATAAATGTATTGATTTTGTCTTTTTTGTGAACAGTTATGGAAGAGATTATGTGCAGAGACTTCAACGGAAATCAACCTTCTTGCGGAGAATTGGAAGTATCTTCTTGCCGGCTTAATTTTCAAGTCAGTCCTCTCTGCCCCTCCTTTTTGTCATGTTTTGCTTTTCTTTTAAGGTGATTTGGTTTTTTACTTTCTTTATTTTTTCTCCTTTCATTTTCTGGGCTGGCGGATGGTTTTGATTGCATACATGATCAATGCTTTAAAGAGGCCATGCGAACAGCTGCGTGCTATTTCACTTTAGGCCAATGGATATGGCCGACTGATGACTTTGTCAACAATAATGTCTTAAATTTCTAATAACGGTGACATTCATGTTTTCAAAGATACATCCATTCTCTTAGCAACACAGTGCTGTTTCTAGAATCGCAGTATATGCATCATCCGTTGGAGCCACCTCTGTGAAGCGGCTATGAAAAATTTGAAGCTGCTGCTCTGCACAAAATGCTGCTATACAAAACTTCACTCTTCGTGGGAAGAGATGTTGCCCTTCTAAAAGAGTTACTTTCCAGGTGCATCCAGGACTAATAAACTATCTCAATTTTTAACAATCCCTTCATAGTTTCCCCACCAAGAAGCAGGGATCCCATGTCTTTGAAACCCTTCAGGCATATGAAACCTTTCATACAGCACTGGCCTTACATCCTTCTGCTGAGAGAGGTGCTTGAGAAGTGGAAGGATAACTTCCAAAAGCTGATGAGCATGTGCATATTTAAATTAGTGTGAGTCTCACCCAGCGGACATAGTTTGACAAAAGTTTTAATCCAATTACTGTAATCAATGGTACCTGTTCATCCTGCGGTTGCCCTGCTGAAAATGGAATGCATGGAATACCATTTAGTGGTTGCAACAAGAAACTGAATGGATTGTTATCACCCAAAATGATCCGCCAGGGAGACCCTACTCTTACGGTCTTACCATGACGTTGGTCACCCACGGGCAACATATTATTGACCAAGCATCAGAAAAAAAACACTAGGTATCCTAATGCAAGTTCATGTTTACTCAACTGAAAATGTTGAAAGCACTCTAATAGCACCCTTCTGTCTGCATATATTACTCTTGCTACACAAATAATTGGTGATTCACTTGGAAAGTACTCAGCAATTGAAACGCAATTGATTCCCAGTTGCGTCTCTTACTTGGAAATGCAACTGTACCTATCCATTCACTTAGCAATTCTTTTATAGATTAGCAAGGTTATTTTTGTTTTCTTACGTTTTAGAGCTTTCATGCTTAGAAGAATGAGTTAAATCTAAAACGGATGGAGACGAAAATAAAATAAATGTTCGAAATATTTAGCATTTTCATTGTCTTACTTTTGATCATGTACTTTGTTGGTGCACTTTTAGTACTGTAAGATTTACTGCTCTTTTATATGCTTTGGATATGAGTTGTACAATCGTTTTCTTTATCAGTTGAACATATTAGACCATATTCCATGCCGAGTTGACTTAGTTTGCCTAGCTTACTTGGAACAACGGATGTTTGGTTAAAATCAATGTTGACAACAACTCCTGAGGTTCGCCTTGCCGCAAAAAATGTAAAACTGCCTAGAGTTAATTCAGAATACTCCATCAGTAAATAAAAAAAAAAGACAAATAACTAATTCTCAATAAACTACTTTGCCCATGCAAATAACCATTTGAATTTACTATAAACCAGAGCATAATTTAAACGAATTACTGCTATTCAATTATCTCTGATGAAATCAAAACTTAGAATTGTCTGGCAAGAGGGAGATGACAAACACTTCAATTTTTTGATGTGTCCATTAGTTCATGCCTATAAAATTAGTCCAGTGGCAGAAACTTCCTTTTTTTGTTTGAAAATACTCTACATATGAAAAAGCTATCCCGACAAAAGCGTAATTCAGATTATGAATGTTACAAATGAGCTGAAATTGAAAATAGAGCCATGGTACTGTGAATTCCTTAATTTCATGTACATTTAATTTAAACATATTTTTCTATATTGTATATCTATATCTTATTTGTCAAACAGGTACAATGTTAACGTACAAATCAGATATTCCAGTAGTAACATGCATCTTAATGTACAAGACAGACATGCACGAAAATGGTAACATGCATCTTTATTTTTATAGTACTATTTATAAACTATGTAAAAAAATACACTAATTTCGTATGTTCTTAATTATCAAGAAAATGGTGATAGATTGTTCAGCCAACGAATTAATTCATGCAAAGATCGTACATTTTTATTTGTAGTACGCACTCCACAAAATTCAACAAAGTTAATTATAAATCACCAAATTTGGCTTTCGTACTAAAAGTGGATTGGTGTGAAGAGTGTTCGCACCTTCAAGCAAAATTATCAAATCGAGTAAGTATTTCATTTTAACAACATTCAATTACATTCATTTGTAGAAATATATCATTCCCTTTTTTAATATAAATTTTATTTTTTTCAGGATCCATCTTCCGAAAAAAAAACAGTTCTTGAATGATATACACATTCTATTATATTTCAAGCTATTGTTAAATAGATATTACATTTTAATTTTATTGGTACAATTTTTCACATTTATTTATTCACTCTTTTATTTTTATTTTTTTTAATAATGTCAGCACCGTGCATAGCACGGGTATTCCCACTAGTTTACTAGTACTAGCGTAGCAAATGCCTTCAAATTTGAGAAACCCCGATTCTTGAGACTAAGGCCTTGTGCGGGGTTGTCCTAACTTGCTTTAGATTTTATAAAAATTTGATTATAAAAATTAATTATATCATAATTAGTAAAAGTTATTCTTTGAATAATTATTGTAAATTTTAGTTTTTAATTATTAACAAAATATATAATTAAAATACAAAAACAATTAAGAACACCGTAAAAATTAATTATTCAAGATCAGAATTTATAATTAGTTAAAATAAAATAATCCATTGAGAAGAAGCCCTAACCCAATCTTTGATGATCACATCATTAAGTATCGGCTTTTTTTTCTTATTTTAAAAAATTGAAACCATCTGATGGCATTTATAGCTTGTTTGAGAGTTGTAATTTGACGAGAAAATAAAGGAACGTGACAAAAAAGATATTGGAGTTTTTGAGGGGCAAAAAGAATAGAAAGCGAATGATTTAGAAAGTTAAGCTTCTGCTGCTCCGGTTACCAAACTTTTCTGCCCAAGTATGGATGGAAAGCACAGGAAAAGCTGAGAATACCAAATAAAATATTTTTAAATGTCAAATTTATTCTCAAATGTGTATTGAACAAATTTTTATCAATATACATATCCAAAATTATTAAATAATATTAAAATCTCTTCTCTTCTCTTGTGTTCTTTTCTTTTCTTTCATAACTTAATATTACCCATCTTTTGTTTTTCTAACATAAACATCCAAACTAGCTACTAGCACTTGGTTTTTTTTTTTTTTAAGTCAGCAACGATACATTTATATAACCTACTCTATCCTAATTTAGGGAGAGGGGGAGCCTAAGAAGGTTGTGATAGGGGAACAAACCTACTCTATCCTAATCCATGGGGAGGGGAAGCCTAAGAAGGTTGTAATAGGGGATTAGTAGGTATACAGATCCAATTAGATCAAAAAAATGTTATGGCACAATACTTCAATTTTTTTTACTGCAGATGAGGTTTGAATCCTCATCTACAGTTTAAGGAGGGATTTAAGCCTCTCCCTAATGACCATTGAGCCATTAGCCCGGTGATTTACTAGCACTTGGTTGGGCTTCCCTGACTTTTTTCAAGGACGGCGTCCTTCCCACCTTTCCACGTAGTGGAATAGGCGGTAGTGATCCACTAAAATAAGAAATAGATGGCTTTTTCCAAAAGAAAAAAGAATAGAAAGATGGGGAACGATGCTGATTGTTGAACAAGTGTTCTTTACCACCTCCAGCTGCCACCACGTTGTACGGTGGTCGTAATGATAGTTTGAGGCATTGTTAGACTCGACTGTAATCATGGTTGAAGGACTCAGCCGAATCGGACACAATTCGGTCGAATTGTCATCGTCTCCGCCCTTCTGATACGATATTGGAACGATATGATTTCAATATACTTGACTCGTCGAGATGTCAAAGTGAGGGATTGAAATAGTCGAGTCATACCGAATAACTGCGAGTCATTTCGAGTCAACTCGAATTTTTATTATTTTTAATAAATTTTTAATTATTTTATTTATCATATTTTTTATAACTTTTAGAATATTAAATATTTTAAAATTCGTGTCTCGCTAAAACCACAGTCGATATGCTAAAATCGATTTATTTGGAACGATTCCGATCGAAACTATAACCGCGACCGCGGCTTTTAACCATGCTCGTAATTGGTAATTGGAATGGCAACTTGTTCAAGCTTTTGGAATTTTCTTCATAAGCCGCTTAAAATGCATAAAGTTATTTTGGAAGATGATGATCTTCTTCAAAAAAAAAAGTTGCAAACATGACGGTCAATTGGAAGCGTCAAAATTGGAAAGCTCGGTGGAGTCAACATCTCGTCCCACTCCAGGCAGGATATCATTCAGGATTTCTCAATTACGACATCTTAAATAATGAATTAAACTGATTATTCAACATATTAAACAATTGGTGTGGCCATTCCATTGGAACGAGCCTGTTCGATTGTACACCATGACAGTCATTTCCTCTCCTCCAATTCCCGTCTTAAAGAAAGAATGTACGGCCTGCACAGATTGCAGGCGCTGGCGACGGGCTTTGGCTTCAGGGACTATGTGCATCAAGCCAAGAAACGATGTCACCAAGCACTCCAAGGATCACCTCATCTGGCTCGCCTTCAAGAAGGGCATGATAAGCATCGTCATAGAGAATCAGTTCCTTGTCTGCACTGCTTGCCTTCTCATATAATTCCTTGCTAACTGATGGATCTGTTACCCCATCAGCCTTGCCGTGGAGGACCAATAATGGCAGAGAAACCTACAAAAGAGCATTTATCATCAGTCGTCTTTCAAATGTTATGTTATTTCCACAGCATCAAAAAGCATGTTGGAAGTCATAAACGGAAAGCAGTCTCTCCAAGAAATTAAAGCAACTCCATATGATAACTTCAAAACCTCCTTAGAACAAGAAGAAGAAACGTGTTTACATACATTCTCCAGTTGTTGTCCTATTTCCTGGGTGGTGTTCAGTAACTCTACGGCAGTTCGTAGCCTTGGTTTATGCTTGTAAGCAATCATGTTGCACGCAAGCTGCAAACAGTGCCAAAAAGGGGGGGAAAAAAAGAAAAAGATGAGCAGGTAAACAATGGAAAAAAAGTTTTTTTCTGCTCTGTTTTCTACAGGCAGTGTTCTGTCTCTCTGTTGAACACTTCATAGAAGGGAAAGGAGGCTAACCAAATTCCTTTTCTTGACGTCTCTGATTGCTAAGTGAACTAAATCCTTTTGTGGAACTAGCTGCCGTGTTGGAAGAAGTTTCGCCGCTCCAATAAGAACTTGGGTGAGTACCCATGGCGGAAGCATTTCATCTGCAATCTGTAGAAAAATACTCGGATCAAGAAATGAGGTATATGAGAAACAAGAAATGTACAAGTCAGAAGGTAGTTGAGAGTGGTACCTTGCACATCGGTGCAAGAAGAACAGCTCCATTCCATGAATTAGGCTGTTTGAGGTGAGTCTTCAGAGCTACAGCTCCTCCCATAGATTGTCCAAACAGGAAGCTTGGCAGACCACGGAAATCTGGATTTTCTGCACCACAAAATGTAATTTTAATATCCTTCCAAAAACTGTCATGCAGTTTAACTTTTGAGAAATTAGCCAAAATACCTTTAACTTTTGAGAAATGCTCAATCACATCATCAACTAGCCCGTCAAAGCTTGGGATATAACCATGAAGACCCTCGGAAAGTCCAAATCCAGGATAATCCATAGCAAAAACTGCATAGCCGGAGGAGGCTAACTTTCTAGCAACTCCTGCAAATGACACCATACATCCGTTAAACCATAAATATACACTGAAATCTGCAAATCTGCAACTACAAATCATTTGGTTAAGCTACATACCTTCAAAGAAAAAGGTGCAAGTGTCTCCATAACCATGACAATAACAAACCACTGCCTTGGGAGGACTGGTCTGTGGCACCCAACTCTTCGAGAAATATTCCAATCCTTTAGAGTTCACCTCATATGACTGCATCACAGGATTCAAATTCTTAGAAAGATGTACGAACTTTCATAAATGCTGTGAAACTATAAAGACAAAAGATGCCACTGGTAAACGCTAGTTTTCAAAATAAACGTGAAAGTTTGCGAAAATATGAATGATTTCTAGCATAGGCTAGTCGACAGAGACTAGACAACTATCAGTCAATTGTAGCAGTTACAATAGTGTATAAATAGAAATTTATGGCACTCTAAAGCTATGTCTATGAACTGACTTATCATCATGACAATCTTCTCAACATGGAAAATCATTTTTCTTTATCACTTTTTCAAGGACCACAAGCAAATACTACTATTATAGTAGATGACCCGGATACGATGGGACACATTCCAGTTATAGGTTCAGAGACAGGAATATAGAAAGATATACTAAGAAGTTGTACCTCCTTCATCGTCAAGCCATCACTTGGGATCTGTTAAAACACAAACACACAGCAAGTCAGCATCACCTAGCAAATTGTCAATCCAAGAAAAAGGAACTCAAACTTCAACACAATATGCTTCCTACGACGAAACTAGATTTTTTACTAAACCATCATATTTCGACCGAGCCAAATCCAATAAAAGAAGAAAAAATTTGCAGCTCCAACAGTTAAAACCATGCACAGCCACAAATCTTAACCAAGGATGGAAGAGGCAAAACCCTTCCACTAACAGAAACCATATCCCATTTTATGGGTGCCAGATGTAATCTTGTAAAAGTGCATCTGCCCTTCTAATTCGTTAACAGCAAGTGGAGTGTACTTGGAGTAGCTTGAACACATATAAGCAATTCTACGCATTTGCTAAAAAATAACCAATAAGCCATGTATATCATCAATAAGCTTTCTTCACAATGGCGTAAGTTTTATCAAATTACCAATCCCTTGAGCACCTGTTGCAATGTGCAATAATTACCTTGAACAAAATATGATCAATTGAAAGTTGAATATCCTTGAAGGCCTCGCGAGCAAGCCTTCGGGCCCCAACCTCTTGCATATTTGTATCCATTATCTTCTGCAACTCTTGACTTATCCATGGGAACTTCTCAAACCTCAACATTGTAGCCTTTTTCTTACCCCTCAAGGACGAAGTTTTAACCTTTGCCTCTGAATTATACAATATCAAATATTTGTCAGAACCCAGAAAATCTATCAACAAAAAGAGGAAAAGAAAGAAAAATCAAATATTTGTCAGAACCCAGAAAATCTATCAACAAAAAGAGGAAAAGAAAGAAAAATCAAAGGGGAATAGTCAGTGCAACATAAAAAAGCAGCTAGATGACTTCTGGGAAGCTATTCAAAATGTTAAATGTCAATGGTACCTATGGGATTATTATGAAGCTGTTCGTGCTGGTTTTTAGCAGACGATAAGCATGGCACCAACAACAGAAGCATTGGGCCTTTTAAAGGCGCGCGATTCTGGGATGGTCAAGAATCTGTTTGTCAGTATTAGACTTTTCAGTAGCGTTCAATAAAAGTGTTTTAAAAACATGGGTGGTTGAATTCAAGGAGATGCGGGGTCTTATGGAAAAGTAATAGTCAGAGTGCGTACTTGGCGAAACAGCGAAAAAGGACGACGTAGAGGTAGTTTCTGATTCCGCTTGTCGGAGATCTTCCTCTTTTGTCCTTTCCCTCCCTTTTATTCTAATTTTTTTTCTTTCATTTGTTCTTCGCGTTGCTTAAATAAATCTAGGGATAATTTCGGAAACTCCCCTGAGGTTTCGACAATTTCACTGAGCTCCCCTGAGGTTTAAAAAAAATTACACATAGCTCCTTTGATTTGATAATTTTAGTAACAAAATCTTAAAATAATATTGACTTGATCAAATTTTTAAATGAATACCCAAAAATGCGCTTGTGTAATGAGTTTTAATTTACTTTCCTATAAAATTATAAGATTATTTAATGTAATTACAAGGAAAATGTGTCGAATTTTTCATGTTCATACCTACTATTTGATAAACAACTATAATAGTAAATTTATCACTATGATAGGATACATTTGATGGTATTTTAGTATGGATTTAGATTTATAAGATAGAAAATAAAATGTTGAAATAATTGATTCAGAGTTTATGAATTTTTTTACTAGTGGGATTATCATAATTTAGTAGTGATTTTGGGTAATTTCTTTTTGATTTATTGTTAATTTTAATACCAATAAATAAAAAACAAAGATTAGCAAAAAATATTGGATTACGTATAAAGTTAATTCATAATAAAAAATTAGTTCGACATTTGATTACAATAGAAACTAGAGGTAATAATAGTAATTTTACAAATTTATTGGGAAAAATTAAAATAAAAAGGAAAAAGTATGAAAAAATAACTTTAAGTATAAGCATCCAAACAAGGGAATTTCATTAAAATATTTAAGGATAGTATTATCATTTTAAATGACAAGAGAGGTGTGTGTAATTTTTCAAAGCTTAGAGAAGCTCGGTAAAATTGTCAAAAATTTGAAGGGAGGTTTCTGAAATTGTCCCATAAATCTAATTTGCGGTCTTCTCTTTGTTATCGTTCGTATTGTATGAATTGAGGCAATCAAGATGTCAGCAGTGTTTATCACATTGACCCGGAAACTTTCACGGTTGTATCTTATAGACTTTTTTGAAAAAAAATATATATATATATATTGTAGGTGTTAATTTCAGAATTGAAATCTTAAAATATCAAACTTTCTTCCGTAGCCGAAGACTCTAGGAAGTTTAAGAGAGCTGGTAAATGTTTTTTTTTTTTTTTAAAAAAAAGTAAAGAGCACATTATAATGAAGGTATTTATCGGTCCGTGCAAACTTCATCCATAACAGTCAAATAGAACTTGTTGTTCCAAATACGGAATAAACTATTTTTTTTATGGTCTTAATTACCTTCTTGTTACGACGTTTGTGATGTGTTACTTGCATATTATTATTGTTTTTCTTTTGAGGGAAACGTGCATCTCTCGTTCAATGACAATTAAATAGTCCCTTACGGTATTCTTAATTATTATTAACAAACATGAAGCCCGTTGCGGTGGTATACTATCGGATTACACATTTTCTGCTTTAATTAATTAATACCAAGTTTTGAAGCAGTAGTAGTAATTATTAAAAATAATAAAAGGAGCTTGGCGTTCATACCGCGCGCGCGTGGGGGGATGGACGTACATTGTACCATTATCATTCATGGGTGGGAATCAAAGGCGGCCAGTCCATTTTGGGTTCTGAAGTGTAAAAAAATACTAGTATATATTTTAGGCACCGGGGAAGGCGCCCGAAGACTGACGGAACAGATAAACAACAAGAAGGGATTGATGAGATCGATAGTTTTTTGGATTGGAACAGGTGCTTTCTTTCGTGGACTTGGAAAATTCTAACGGGTGCGCTTTTGAAGACTGGGAATCCGTCCCCACACCAAAGCGGCAAAACATCGCCGGGTACAGAGCCAAGACAACTCCACATGGCCTTTGAATGGCATCGCCATCATGTGGGCGTGGCGATGATTTGTATTTTTTTTTATGATATTAAAACAACGACCCTTGTGGCTTATACTTCATTACTTTGAAGTAGAATTCCATACAGGTGCTGCTGTTGATGACTTCATTCATATAATACTCTTACTTTGGAAGATTCGAACCAGTTACACCATTCACGTAACGACAAATCTAATACCCCTACGCTCGCCTTGGAAATCCGGCAAATGATTACGCGTGAAGACAAGCGCTGCACCACGATGACCGGAAGTGAACGACCAAATAATATTATATTCCTTAAATAATTTGAAAAACGTGATGTGGACATACACTGAATGGGAAAAACATGATGGAGTGCAGATGCCGGCGACTATAACTGCTTCTGTGCCGTAATCATTTACCGTATCCTTCTCTGCGTTGTTTAGTATTCCCCGAACGACCTGAAAAGTTTTTCCCTTCTTTTTTTTTTTTTTTTTTTTGTTTAATGTTTTTAATGATGCATAATCAAGCAAAAGATAACAACGTTGAATTAGTAGATGAGATAAGATCAAACTGAAGACAAAAAATTCAACACTTAAAGTGAGAGATCTTCACGGTGTAGATTAAGAATTTTGACAACATGCTTGCGCCGTAATCATTTACTAAACCTTCAATAATATATTATTATTGTTTAGTATTCCCCGAATGACTGACGTGAGTCTTTGAAAAAAAAAATTTTTTCCCTTCTTTTTTTTTTTATGTTTAATGTTTTTAATGATGCATAATCAAGCAAAAGATAACAACGTTGAATTAGCAGATGAGATAAGAGCAAACTGAAGACAAAAATTCAACAGTTAAGTGAAAAATTTGCAAGTGAGAAATTCAAAATTGAAGTTAGTTATACTAATTTGACGCCGATTAGCTGCAACAACAAAGTAATAAATAAATGATTGAAACTGAGTTAGACATGCAATTGCGGATGAACGTGATATCAATCATTCTTGTATGTAAAGTTTGCAGCAAGCATCCAAATGCCGCCAGCCATGTACATTGTAATTTGTGCCGGAAGTGATTGGTACATTGAATTGGTAAAAATAGACGTGATTATGGAAAACCATAAAATATATAAAAAAAAAAAAAAAAAAATCTCGTGGAACAAGTAAGCATGTATGTATGTTTCGAAAATTGGTGAGAAGTTTGCAGATGCATAGCTTTAAAATGCCGAGTTATAATTTGTTTAGGAAGTAGGATACCTAGCTTTAAGTCCCGAGCAATGTACGATAATCACTTTGAACTACTTGACACGATGAATAAACTATTTAAATTGATTATATAGAATTTCATGTAAATCCTAACATTTAAGGAGTCAAAAAAGGAGGGGGGGCTAGAGTGCAAATGCATGGAGACAAGAAAGTTTAGGACAACGTGCATGTGCCTTAATAATTTACTAAACCTTCAGTAATATATTATTGTTTAGTATTCGCCCGATATATATATATATATATAGTATTGTTTAGTATTCGCAGGTATGACTTGACACCTTGAAAATTTTTTCTTTATTTTATATATTTAATCTTTTTAATGATGCGTAATCAAGCAAAAGATCGCGTTGAATTAGTAGATGATATGCGTGAACCGAAGACAAAAAATCAGTGGTTAAGTTAGAAATTCAAAATTGACGTTATAATTTGACTATTAATTAACTACGAGAACGTACGTAGATGATTGAAATTGAATTAGAATGCAAGTGTGGATGAATGTGATATCGATCATTGTGTGTAACAAACGTCCTAATGCCATGTACCACATTTGTAATTTGCACTGGAAGTGACTGGTAAATTTTCACGCACGATGTATAATTAATGCAGATTAAGAATTGTGGTTTCGATCATAGCTTGAAGCCTCGTGCAATGTACGAGAATCACTTTAACCTACTTAATTGATACCAAGAATAGATTGTTTAAACTGATTATATATAGAAATTTAGGCAATACTTTATGCAGAACTTTTTAAGCTAGTGTTCAACAATTCATTTGAAAAGTCGCCTAAAATTTTGTTGATTAAGCTTTGATTTCAAATCTTCCATCTTGGTTTTGGTCAAAATCGTACTTTGTGCCTTGAGATTTATACGCCTTTTGTTGTGACTTATAACTAGTTATATGTATATGTCGGTATGGACTATTGACCATCTCATTAATAATGAGTATCATTCTAACAATTTGGTCATAACACATGTAAAGTAGTAGTTACTTAATTACTCATCACATAATACATTTGAATGCTTGAAACTACATATATTTTCAGAGATAAATCACGTAATATATTTTCTTATAGTATACCAGTTAGCAAGATTACACCAACATACATATATATGCAGTGAATTGATGATACAACAATTTTAAGAATGATCTTTCTGTGAAACTGCTCCTATACAAATGATGATGTCTACCTTCAAATCTCTTGTCAGATCACAACAACATGTCAGGCCTGAAATATTAATGCATGTATGAAAGACTCACGCCACGCCACCAATTACAACGAAGACAAAATAGACCAGATGCGCAAGAGAGTGAAGCGACGACTGATGGGAGAAGGGACAGTTGTATTTGGTGGTCTACTGTTGCCTTCTTGGACCAGGAACTTGGACCAATTAGTTTTTACGGGTTGTTGCTTACTTGTAGCCTGCAAATTGAATCCCCGTGCAAGCAACAACTGGACGATTTCGTAAAGGACAACGAGGACAGAAGATGTATGACATTTTCTTGAGTCGTACAATTTCTGAATGGAAAAGTAGAAACATCAGCAGCAACAACTGCCTTTTCTTTTTCCCTTTTTTCTTTTTTGTATGCTTTTCAATACGCATTGCATATGCTCTTAGTACAACATATTATCTATCGACTATAGGAACTCTCGCATCATCTATGCTTGCTCTTCTTAGAGTAGTTGGTCATTAAGGGAGATTTAAAACTCTATTTGGATGCAGGTCAAGAAATTTTGATTCCTCAACTTATATTCTAATATCTAGGATTTTTTAAAAATATTTTAATCTTCTGAATGAATCGAT